CCTGAGTAAATAGAGATTCGTTTGTAAGCGATACTCCTTTCGCAACAAGATATTCACTCCCTATATTCATTTTTTTTCATATTGCTTCGCTCGAATAACATTAATAATGAACTTTTGACAAAACAATTTTTGCCAAAAGTCTTTATTATCAACACTTATAATCTCCCTATTAATCTACTTGACATTCGCAAAGTCATTGAAAGCCGGTTGGTGAGCAGCTGTGATTTTCTCTGTCAACTGTTTATTTCTTCAGCTCGATTTTTCTCGCATTCCAAAGTGCTTTCATTACAATTCCTCAAAATCTTGTACAAGTTATTCATTATATTTCTGCTCATCAACAAAATTAGTTTTTTTAATGTCGCATATAATAGTAAAAAAAAATATATTTGCTGTTGCAATCATAATAAATTTTTTAAATAATTACTTTTAGCATAACTGTCCGGAATTCAATACACCCTGGTTCTCTGCTCAACAGGCAAAGGCTAAGTGACTAAATGTAAGTAAGTGATTGTTCCATACAAATACTACTACGATTTTTCCAAAGAAGCAACACAATTTTCGCCAAGTAAAATCCGAACATTTTATTTTGGAAAAAAAAGTTATTACAATTTCTAGTAAAACTTGACAGGAATTCGATACAGGTTCTCATTTCACGCTTTTAATGATTACTAAAAGGATATATCACTGAGCAAACAAATTTTTGCCGGCTCATGTGACATTATTTCAATAAGAAGCTTCGAATCGGCAGGTTTTTATGCCAGTTGATCCTTTGATTCATTTCTGCGCCATTTTTTCTATTACAAACCCAAATCCCCAAGCACGTTAGAAAAAAAAGAGAAGATGAATGAAGCGTGTGACGTATGTGGGATTTTTCTGAATGGTTAGTTTACAAGTTCATTCATTCGTTTTGAAACAAATTCCGCTTTTTTTTGTTTTTGCCGTGAGATATACGAATGTAGCAAATGTGAACTACAACAAGGCGTATTTTCAATAAATGCTTTGTTTCTTCTCAATGGCGCAATTTCAACATTTTCCATTTCGTCTCGAAATTTTCATTTGAATCATCGAACATTCATTGCCATCCGTGTTGATTTAAGCCAACATAACTCTCATCAGCGATCCACACTACAAGACAAATATCGTTCATGCATTGGTACATATGTTTTTCATTAAGCGCAAAATTTAAACTAGACGCATTCTCCTCGAAATCGTTCTTCGCTGATTATTACGTTCGCACTAATAGGATGAACAGCTTGCATGTATTCCGCTTTAAACCTCGCTTTTGTAGTTGCCAGCCGCACTAAGACTAATGCACTTTTTCTCGCGTCAAAAATTTTTATATAATTGCGCTTTTTCCGTGTGTCCTTTTATTATGAACATGAAAAAAAGGTCATTCGTTCCAAATTCTCAACCTTGAATTACACTTTTTTGCGTCTGGTAAATTTAACCCATTTTCAAAGTACCCCCCCCCCACTCAATTCCAAGAAAATAGAAAATCTCACATATTTTCGAACGAAAAAAAAACAAAGTTCCGTTTTGAAGCGGAAATATGATTTATGCGGGATGTCAGTTTGAAAAGGTAAAAGAACTCTTGCAAGATTTATATCGTTTGGAAAGCTTTCGCATTACAATTTGTTCACCAACTTTATTTTTGAATTAAATTTATCTTATATTCAAGGTAACATTTTAGAATAGTATTTTTAGAATAGTGATTCATCAGACCATATCAGCAAAGATGTAAATTGGTTAATGAATCATCCTCAGCGATGTTTTGCAATTATAAACTTATATGGTACCTCATGGTTTACCAGAATTTCCAAGAATTTCTAATTTTGCCCCTCTTATCCAAACAAATTCATGCATTTTTGAACGCCATTGCAAATCTACACCGAACACGAAATCTTGTAAAAATGATTGGCTTGCGTGACAATTCCAATAAATGGTCTATACGATTTTTCCAGCATGTTTTTATTAGAAACACCTAACAAAAGGCTGTTTCTATTTTTTTGCCCTGTTTTTAGTAGCACGTTGCCCTACTTTCTCATATTCGTCATTCTTTCCCACCTTTAGAATAACCGAACAACCTGAAACAATGATATGACTATGCGTAGTGAGTATTTATCACAAAGTACACATTTTTGGGGGTCAGCATTATTGGATAATGGTGGTTGATGATTGATCAATTATCTGCCACGTTTCCTAAATTTTCGTTCACATTACCCATCAATTTCAAAAGCATCATTACCAACGAATCAACATCGAATCAATTCGTAGTCGTTGAGATGTTCTTCTTCGAAACTTTTTTGTCTTCCATCTGGCAAGCGGCATTTCTTTCAAGTAGTTCCTTCTCTCGTATCATCAGTTTCATGTATTTTTGCCTCCGATGCGTCATTTTATCCTCCGGTTCACACAACGTAAAAACGCAAGACCAAACGTCGACTTCATTTTCAAAAATGGATGAAAAAAATCGGCGAACGGAAGTAGTAAATCACTGGTTCGGGGCGCGTGAAGGGATGGGAGAGGGTGGGGGGGGAGCCGTTGCCCAAGTATACATACACTACGCATACATCCATCAATACGTTTTTGAAGAGGGTGAATTCTTCTTTATCTTCTTCGAGAAGGTCTCCTCCACCCACAACTGTCCGACTCAAGCCGGTCTAAGAACAAAGACAGTAGGCTGATGTATGTCGGTAGGAGTCGGTGCGAATAGTAACCTTGATTTGGAGATGGATGATCACTGAGGGTGAGCGGAGAACGTTGTTTTTGACGTTACATCATTGCGAGGTTCATTTTTAGTATTCAATTCCCATTCCGACAAAATTTATGTTCGGTTTCATGGTTTCTATCAATTTTCAATTAGTTTTTCTTCTTTCATCTAAACAAATTTTTAATTGGTTTGCGTTTCCTTTCTGAGAAATTCAACTTCCTCATTATATAAAAATATTTTTTTGTTTTAAATATAAATTATAAAATAAGTCAAAAAATCTAACCATTAAATTTATTTCGATTTTATGTTTTACTATACGTGATCACTGCGCGAAAAAAAATAGCAGGATCATGATATTTTTTCTGTGTCGATTTGAAAATTGACAGAGGTGCAAATTTACGGTGGCACACGGCCAGATGTTGATATAAACGCAGTGTGTGCGCGCACTATTGGTTGCTCAACATTTTTTTTGCGCTTTCATAACAGAACAGACCGGCCTGAAGAGCAATTGGATAGCTTCGCGGTGTTGCCGCTGCTCGCCCTCCTTCTTGCTGCTGCTGCTGCTGCTGCCGACTGCTGCTGCGGCCTGCTGGTCACTCAATCATTGATTGTGGCTGGCCGAGTCGCTGGCTCTTCTCTCTCGCACTAGCACACTACCGTTGTTCCACGAATATTTCGTAGAAAATGAGTAACCTTGCGAGAGAGACGAAGAGCGTGCGAACGCGGAGTGCGCAGTCAGCGCGCAAAAGAGTCAACCCCTTTCTCTCTCGGGTGGTCGGCCTGGTCGTCCTCATGCCGGACACCCTCTTTATTTTTCGCTTTCCTTTTTTCCCTTATTCTACTCTACGACTCTGACCAGCAGCTATGGACAAGTGAAAAGTCGCGCGGTCATTTTCTCTAAATCTCGCTTAATCGCTCACTATCCACAAGGCTACCGCCTCGTTTGATTTTTCTCAAATCTATTAGCCATCCACCATTCGAACGCTTTTTTTTTCTTAGGTTTTATATCATACAGTATCATTCTAAATTTTACAAATTTTCCCGAAACTACAGTAAGTTCTCCCCAGAGGAGCACAGCTGCTCATTTTTATTAGTATTCGCGCGTTGAAGGTGTAATTTCCGGGAGAGAAAAAAAGTGACCAATAAAATATACGACGAGTGACTTCGTGTGTAGAGGAATAGTTGGGAAGTCTCGAAGACGATTGTGTAGTTTGCAATCAAAATTTCAGAAATTTTTATTACAGAGTGTGTTCAATGGTTTTCAAAAATTGTTATATCGAATATAAAAATATAACAATGTTGAATAGAAAATATACCGAAATTCAGCTGTTGGCAAATGTTCGAATTTGATGTACGCTTTTAGGATTGATCTTTGAAAATTTGCATTAAAAACCTAATTTTTAGTAAGAACAAATATCATTCAGGTCAAAATAATATAAAATTCAAATTTTTCCAATAATGGACATGGTTGCACTTTCCAGTCGCATTTTTAATAAGATTCAAAAAACTCAAGAAATTCGACCTTTCTCTATATAATATGCTAAATGTCTGGTCAACATGCTTCCGTTGCATTACAATATGACTCATAATTTTTATAGTAATGATGACTATTGTGCCGTACCAATATCGCATTCATTCAAAAACCTTTTACAAATGTTCCTTTTTTGTGCATAGAAAGTGAATGTTTGTAGAAATTACGGGTGTATTTGGCGACAGAATTGATTATTGCGGGAAATGAGGTCGCGGTTATCAATTATCATTCCCCCAATCTTCGATTCTCAAGCTACACCATCGTACGTATTTGTATTGAGGTTTTCCAATATTCATCTAAAGGTTGTGTATATACGACACCTCAATCTCAGAGAATTTGCTTTACTGCACCCTGCTTGATTGCTCCATCCAATGATGATGGAAACCTCGCACGAAATGAATCGCGTTTTCTCGGAAATATTCCAAATACCACAATAAAATTAATTGAAATTCCATTTTCAAATGATTCGCATTCCCAAATGTACGCAATGTTCGCGTTTCTATGGATTTATGCAAATCGAGTAACCTTGTCATAAATTTAATAGCAATCATCGATAGTTCGAACGCGATATATCTGAGAATCACAAGAAATTGTTTTATTTTCATTGATCTGGTCGAGGGGGATGTTGCGGCATCACTCCGACCTATTTTCTATTTTTTGTCGCTCATCTGGGATTGCTGCCCGGTATGTCTCAAACAAAATTTTCCCACGTTTATTGCGCAATCATTTCTGTTACAAGGCGGTTGTTGTTGTCCAAAGGATATGATTGCAATGGTATTTAATTACAAACAGTTAGCGGCATTCTTTACCATTTTTCTCATAATCTAAAATATTTAGCACATCAATTCATTCCACTTTTTTTGGTGGAGCAGTTGCTCCACAGAGCCACTCGCTTTGACTTCAGAACTACTTGCGTTGTGTCCTAGATATTTTTTTCTCATTGATAAAACCTGTAATCGATTCGCTCGTTCGTCAATTCTCGGCTATTTATTGAATCATAAAAATAACAATTATTTTGTTACAGCACGCGACAGAAAGTAAACGCCAGGTATTGTTTGGCGTGACTCATCTTGAGCCGTTGGCCGTTTTGAACTCAAACTGGGCTCCAAGGAGCAATTCCGAAACAAAAGCGATGTCATCGGCAAAAGCAGCACTGGATGAGATTGATCTGAATTCCCTCAGGGTGAGTCTCTCTTTCTCTCTCATTATTTTCGCCGCATATTCTATAAAGTACATTCAACAACAATTTCTGTGCGGGTTCGGAGACGTTGTTGTTGTTGGTTTGGTTTAGCTGGCTGGTTGGTGGAAGGGGAAAAAAAGGGGGGGGGGAAGCGTCGGACAGAAAAAGACACCCATCAAGTTGTTTCATTGTCTGGCTGCGTTGTTGCCCAGAATTCAAAGAAGCATCGAAAAAGGGATGCGAATTGAAGGCGAGCGAAAGGTCCTGGTTCGCCGTCGTCTTGTGTTGTGTCAAAAGAAAATAGGATGCGCGGTCGACGCACGGGTCGCACGCCGCGGAAATTGCAAGATGCATAATGAACAACTTTCGCGGAAGAGAATTTATTAGATTGTTACCGTGTGCTGACCATGGGAATAAGTTTCAGGGACACAATAGTCAAAACTGCTTGAAAATATTTAATGTATTCTATTAGGTATAACTGAAAGAATAATTTTTTATTGAATGACTTCTCTTCAAATATTTTTTAAAACTATTCTAATTAAAATAATAACGATTATCTTAACCCAAATTATGTTCTAATCAAGTTACACATCAGCTGATAATTGATCAAGTTGTCAAAATTCATATCGTCTTTCGAAATTTCAATCATTCGTCAAAATTTCACACTTTCGCGTCAATCTTTACAATGCTATTTTCTCGGTTTCTCACATTTTTCTTTGCGGCAGCAATCCGTCCACTTTGGGCTCGGTGACGCCAATAAGACACCCACGAGTGTAACATTTTTCAAAAATCATGCACTCCCCGAGTTGCTTTTGTTTCAAACAAAAACAGAGCGCGTCGCCGTTTTCCGAGCCTGCCGGCCCAACCAAAGAAATGCATAGAAAACTGAGAGGAAAAAAAGTTCAGACGGCCCACGCAGCAAAACGCATGGAACCATGATGAACATTTGAATAATTTTCAGGATCCCGCGGGAATCTTTGAGCTCATCGAAGTTGTTGGAAATGGAACATACGGGCAAGTGTATAAGGGTCGACATGTTAAAACTGCACAGTTAGCTGCAATTAAAATCATGAACATTAATGAGGATGAAGAAGAAGAAATAAAACTGGAAATTAATATGCTAAAAAAGGTATATAAACGATGTTCTATAATTGAAAGAAAGTAATTTTTTAGTACTCTCATCATCGGAATATTGCTACCTACTATGGAGCTTTCATCAAGAAACTTCCGTCTTCAACTGGTAAACATGACCAATTATGGCTAGTCATGGAGTTCTGCGGCAGTGGATCCGTAACAGACCTGGTCAAAAACAGTAAAGGCGCCACTTTGAAGGAAGAATGGATTGCTTATATTTGCAGAGAGATTTTAAGAGTAAGTTCTTTATGACGATATTTCTGAAGTTAATTTCAATATTCAGGGCTTATACCACTTGCACCAGAATAAGGTTATTCATCGCGATATCAAAGGACAAAATGTTTTGCTTACTGATAGTGCTGAAGTGAAACTTGTTGATTTTGGAGTTTCCGCTCAGTTGGATAAAACTGTTGGACGAAGAAATACTTTTATAGGAACCCCTTATTGGTGAGAATTTTAATGGAATAACTAGTTAATGATTTTCAACCTTTAGGATGGCACCGGAAGTGATTGCTTGTGATGAGAACCCCGAAGCAACATATGACTCTCGCTCAGATTTGTGGTCTCTTGGTATGTTTCCGTTATTTGTTTTGCTTGAAGTGTTTTTTCTTAACATCATGTACATACTATGGCTGATTCAATGTTTGTTCTAACAGCCATTTTGTCCCAAACGGGCAACTTTACTAGTTAGAATGATAATGGATAGGGAGCAGAAGAATTCGAAATATGTCTTTTTAGGTATCACTTCACTGGAAATGGCTGAAGGTCATCCGCCATTGTGTGACATGCATCCCATGCGCGCTCTGTTTCTGATTCCGCGCAACCCGCCACCGCGTTTGAAACGGACAAAGAAATGGTCGAAAAAGTTCGAGGGTTTTATTGGTAATTAAAATTGCATGAACACACATCATGGCGACGATCATTATTTAGATACTGTACTTGTCAAGGACTATCATCAGCGGCCCTACACCGACCAGCTTTTACGGCATCCATTTATCAGAGAACAACCTCATGAAAGAACGGTGCGAAATGCTATTAAAGAGCATATTGATAGGCATCGACGAATAAATGGAAAGAAGGATGACACTGAATATGAATATTCGGGAAGCGACGAGGAGGAGCCTCAAAATCATCGGGGTCCTTCTGTTGGAGTACGAGATGATTCGGAAAGTTGCTCGATGATTCCAATGGATAACACGTTACGCAAAGGATTCCAAAGACTTCAAGAGAGTAGCAGAGGTCTTGCTGAGCCGGGAGCTCAACAACTTCGACGACTTCCTGCTCAACCGCCGTTGATGCAATCTTCATCTCAGTATCGCTACGTACCGGACGCGAGAAGACAAGAAGAAGTGAAAATGAGAGCGATGGCATCTCCAAGGAATGCCGATGGTTCTCGTCAATCGCCTGCATCACGACAAAGACCTGTGAGTCATCATCAGGTAACCCCATTAACACATTTAACATGATTTAATCGAATAACGAATCTTGGATTCCGAGGAAACTGTTCGATTTTCTGCTTTCAGCGTTCTCCACAACAATCGCATCCTGCAGCTCCTCATCTAGCGGATTTAGCGAATTATGAAAAGCGGCGTCGATCGGAAAGAGAAGAGCGTAGAGAGCGTGAACGTGGAGCTCACCATGCGGTTCCAGTTCAACGAGTCTCTGCAAGTGTTCCAGCCCCGCAACAATCAAGAAAGATGAGTGAACCCCTATTGATGGGACATCATGCAAAGCCAGAGGATCTTGACGCACTCGCTAGTGAATTATCAAAGATCGGAGGAATGAGAAATGGAAGATCTCGTGAGGAAAGCATGAGTCCACCACCACCGGCTCCGCCACCGCGAGAAGCTTCAATATCAACTCTTGCCGACACTGTGGAGGTTTTTACTCAAAATGGACTAATCCGATTCAATCGTGATTTTTAGGAAATGATGAATGGCGAAGAAACATTGCGAGGCCCTAATAAGCCACTGCCACCTACGCCTACTGATATTGATAATTCGATTCTATCGGAATCGAGACGCAGTTTGAATGGAGATCGGCCGGTGATCAAGGCGAAAAGCATTTCGGAAGTTCGCACAGGAATCATTTCAATTGAGGATGATGAAATGGCAAGTGATTCTGACAACGAGGAAGGAAATGAGCCTTTGATGTTCAAACAAATTGTATGAATATAGTCCATATTAGATCAATCTATAAAAATGGATATTACTATAGAATTCGTCAAACTCTCGCGGAGCACTTCCGGATCTTTTGCCAAAATCGCCACAGCTCAGACGGCCAATAACCGAGCAACAACGACAATTGAGTGATGATCGTGGAAATGAGGTAGGCATTAAAAAAATGACTCAAAACGTTTTGAAAAGCTTCCAAATTGAATATTATTCTTTATATAGAGCGCCTCCCTATTTGGAAGTTTCTACGTAAGTGACAGAAAGATTTGATGTGATTGTGGTTTGATGATGAGCGAAATTTTGAATTCGAATTGTTCTATATGCTGATTTTGCTGTTATTTTTCCCTGTTTCGCTTGTGTAAAAAATTGTTATCCGGTTCTTTATTTATATCAAAATTTTGATTAGACAAATGTCAAGTGTGTACAGCTGTTGTGAGTTGATATGGATATGTTGTTGCGCATTGTTTGTGTGAGTTGTCATATTGAGTTAATTTATAGCAACCAAATGGTTCGGTTGTGCAGAATCTGGAGTCGCGTGCGTCGGTTCAACCATTCTCATCGCGTGATCGTGAGAAGTCGTTTGTTGGCTATTTCGGTGGCGGCGCAGCTGGAGCAGGTGGCGGCACAGTTAATCGTCCGGGCCGGCCTCAAGATACAAATCAAGTTCAAGTAAATTGCCCTTCTGGGACGTGCTATAAAACGCCAAATTTGCCTAGGTCAATGTCAATCCGAATTCGAATGGAACCCCAGCGGAGAGCGATGCTCCAGAAATTCGCAAATACAAAAAGAAGTTTAGCGGGGAAATTTTGTGCGCAGCGCTATGGGGTGTTAATCTTCTCATAGGTACCGACAGTGGATTGATGCTTTTAGACCGAAGTGGTCAAGGAAAAGGTACCACAAATGGAAACAGTTGGAAATTGACCTGGAATTTTTCAGTTTATCAATTGATTAATAGGAGACGATTTGATCAAATGACAGTGCTTGAAGGACAAAATATACTCGTAACAATTTCCGGAAGAAAACGAAGAATCCGTGTTTATTACTTGAGTTGGCTTCGACAGAAAATTTTGAGGACCGAGGTTTGATTTTTAAGTAATTGAAATACTTCATATTTAAAAACGTACATTTCCTCTCGTCGTTCTGAATATTTCAAATAACTATTCGACTTCATAAAGTGATGATAAATGCATTTCTGGATAATCAATAAAAATGTCCGCAAACACGCGATGATATATTGCGGTCTCGGCACTCACCCAAAACCATCAACATAGTTTTCTTTAAATTGGCTAATTTCTTTTTAATTTTAGGGAGCCGGAACAGCGAGTACTAGCGAGAAACGCAATGGATGGGTGAACGTTGGCGATCTTCAAGGAGCCATCCATTTTAAAATTGTGCGTTACGAGCGAATCAAATTTTTGGTTGTTGGGCTCGAAACATCTATTGAGATTTACGCCTGGGCACCGAAACCGTATCACAAATTTATGAGCTTCAAGGCAAGAGGAATATCCAAGACTAATAAGAATTCATTTAACTCGTTTCAGTCCTTTGGTTCCCTTTCTCATGTTCCTCTTATCGTGGACCTCACTGTTGAAGAAAACGCAAGACTGAAGGTGCTCTATGGTTCACATGAAGGATTCCACGCTATTGATTTGGATTCCGCTGCTGTTTATGATATCTATACCCCAACAACTGTAAGAAAATTGCCAACAACATTAAATTACAAAGAATGGTTGTAGAATGGCCAAGCATCGACAACTCCTCACTGCATTGTTGTTCTGCCCAATTCGAATGGAATGCAACTTTTATTATGCTACGACAGTAACTTATAATTCCTCTATCATAAGTATTTTTGGAATATTCAGATGAGGGAGTTTATGTGAACACTTATGGAAAGATGACCAAGAATGTTGTGCTCCAATGGGGTGAAATGCCGAGCAGCGTTGGTATGCATTTCGAATGTAAATTTGAGTACTGAAATGTTGTGGTTTAGCTTACATCTCGACTGGTCAAATAATGGGATGGGGAAACAAGGCTATCGAAATTCGTTCCGTAGACACGGGTCATCTTGATGGTGTCTTTATGCACAAGAAAGCCCAAAAATTGAAATTCTTGTGTGAGAGAAACGATAAGGTGGATTTCAAAAATTAAACATTATTTAATGATTATTTCTAGGTATTCTTCTCGTCTGCAAAGGGCGGTGGTTCTTGTCAAATCTACTTCATGACGTTAAACAAACCAGGAATGTCCAACTGGTAAACACCTTCAGTCACTGCTCATTCATGGTTGCTTCAATTATTCTTCTCATACAGTTATACATTTTCACTAATGACTATTTATTTTCAATTTAAAACAACAAAAAAAACTTAAAACAAATTTTGGCAAATAACAATAAAAACGTTATATGTGATTCATTCCCGCCAGCTCATTTTTATATTGTCATACATTACACATTGTGCTTGAAATATTGTAGCAGAATTCACCACTGGCATCTAATCCATACATTTTGCATTAATGGCTATGAATCGAGAATTTTTTGTTATTAAATATAAAACATTGCTCATTGTCAGCCTCATTTTCACGTTCTTCACTAGGAATTTTGTTATGCTCAAAATCGAAAGAATCAATTCAATCTACCAGAATCAATATTGTATATACCGTGTATGCCCTTTTCTCTATTTGTTTATTTATTGTTTTTTTTTTCTCAACTGCTGTACGTTTTATGTTTTTATCATGCTCTTTTTGTAGAAAGAGATGTGTTTCTTTGATTTTTCCGCGACAGCTGGTTTTTTTTACAACAACGGTGCATAATAAAGTATGTATTCATTAAAATAGGAACAATCAAAATATGAGGTTTGGGTAATGAAAGACGAATCTAGACAGGTTCAAAATAAAATTGCGTTATTTGACCACCAAAGTTCCTGCGTGAAATTTTCATTGATAAAATTTTCGAATGTATCTCCTGAAAGTGGACGCGCAACTGTTCCCTGAATAAATTTTTTTGAATTAATTAATAATTATTCAATGCTAACGATAGCTAAAGGTTCCCTCGTGTCAAACATTGCTGGCGAGTTGTAGACAATAGCCCACGTTCCGCCAATATTTAAAATTGTGAAAACTATTAAAAATATTCTGTCAATTACGTTTGCGACATAGGACCAATCCTCGGAAATCTTAAAACGAAAACTATGAATCCGAGAGCTTTGAAGTTACATATGCGTCTACCTTGTCTTCTCTTTTCAAGGCTCTAAAATATTCTCCAATGAAGGCAACATTTTGTATCATATTGCGAATGAGATCCGGATTCATTCCTTTCTTTTTAAGCATAGCTAAGTGGCGAACCTGCAACAAAATTTTTTATTATAAATGTTTAGTATCATTACATTAACTGCAGCAGTATTTGGAACAGTTAGGAAAAATGGGCTAGGTCTTCGAGAGTCCATAAATGTTCCTATATCTGGAAAACAGGAAGCAAATAAAAAATTTTGTATTAATCAACCTGAAATAGTGCTCCCAACATCGCTTCCTTCGTCTTCGTCAGCTTTTTTGATCCAAAGATATTTTGGTAATGTAGTAATAAATACAAGTCGCATCCAATGCGGCATTGGAAATGAGGATCCGTCTCTGAAACTCTCTGTAACATACACAACACGTAACGCAATCATACCTTCTGTAAAAGTTCAAAGAAACAACTGAAAGCATAATTGATATAGATACTAAAAACATGGTGAACAGGAGGTATTTTCCTAAAGGTTGAAAATTTGAATTTTTTTTCGTAAATTAAACTAATGCTACCTATTAATGGAATGACTAGAGATGTTGGTGGTACGAGATCAATTAAAATTAAATAGAAAACAGTAAGCGTAACAAGAATGGAAATCGAAAATGTCATTTTGTGCTCAATCGGTGGAACGTAGAAAACAATCGATGTTAAAATTGCTGAAAATAATGATTAATTTGTGTTGGAACTGCCAATTTTCCTACCAAACATCATACAAGGAATAACAAGATTAACAGTATAAAATAAAGTTTTGCGCCGAATTTCGATGGTAAATGTTATATCGATATAGAAATCTTGGCCACAACAACCGGCATAGATTTTCTCATGCCTTGCCGAACTCAGAACCATTAAATCCCATTCAAGACTTCTATAATAAATTGAATCAAATTCCCTAAAAGTCTTAGTTATTACCGATAGTAGCCACTAAGATCCATTCCTCTTTCGAGATACTGGAATTCGGAACCTTCGTCATCGATTTTGTTTTCAATAACACTTCCCGGAGTCTGAAACAATTACTTTCGAATTTCATGTAACTAATTTCTTAAAACATTTTTTATGTGTTTTGAGATATAATTTCATTTTTAAAGAAATTGTTCTCTTATGAATTTCTATTTTATTACTAACCGGTAATTGTCGAACATCTAACAGGAATCCATTATAAGTCCAACCACCAAATTTCATATAACAAGTTTGTGTGTCATATGGAAAGTATTCGATATTGATGGAGCAAAAGCTTTTGTAAATTGAAGGCGGTTTCCAGACCTGAAGGATTGGAATTGTCGCTGCGTCGTCACTTTAACAACATTTGCCCCGCTTTCAACTCCCGCAAAATTAATGATTGTGATGGATTTGATCCGCTCGAGTGATCCGTTAGTGTACAACGCAACACTCAAACAAAAAATAACATACCACTAAGCCATTGTAGTAAACTAAAGCGTCGCTCATTATTGTTATATGAGGTTCGCCGTCAGCGCTGGAAAAATATTTTAATGAGTTTGTTGACATTGTTTTCCACAAATAATTACTTGTTATAAAGTAAAATGTCAGGAATCCAGATTTGATCAACCGGAATATGAAGTTTTCGAATTTTTCCCCAACGATTCGGATCCCACATTAAGCGATAATCGAACCATTGCATCTCTAGCCAGAGATTTGTAGTTAACACTTGATTCACTTCGTCCTGAGTATTTGAATTTATCCGTTTTGCGCATAATGTGTATTATCACGGCGCGAACGATACGAATTTTTACGAGGTGCAAACTGGCGATTAGTGGCCCAGTTAAAACATGTGTGTTTTTATGAGCTTTAATGCCGAATTTTGTTAAAACGCGCAAAATTGTTGGGGGAGCTCATTAAAAAGGGGCCTCAAAATTTGAAATATGAAAATGCGGAACAAAAATTTTATATCAAGTTGCTGGAAAAAGATAGCAAAAACAATTTTGTAAAGAAATTGCACAAATATGAAAAACGCAATGTTTTGTCATTAATAATAATATATATTCGCAAAGCTAAAAAATTTTCAGACTCTTCTCAAAAGGTTTTTTAAAGTAAAATTCTATATCATAATATATATTAAGAGTCGTAACTCCGTCAATTTTATGTTCCCCTCAATTAAAACACTTACCACATCGATTAGACGAATAAGCGAGGAGCCAAACTTGACTTTTGCACTTTCACTAGCATTTTTCACCGGACGCACATTTTTATTATAATAGTATAATAAATCTTCGTAGAGCTGGTCTGCGTACCTATTTGGATTTGCAATTATTATAAGGGCGGCTATAATAAACAAACGTAATATAATAAAACATGTTCAACCAACCATATACAAAAATTTTGAAGAGAAATTCGAATCTCATCGTATCATTAGCATCGTCAATTTGTTGCGTTCACCGTGCCGTTTTTATTGTTTTTCTGAACAAAAAAATCAATTGATGAGCAGTTGAGAGTGATAAGTGGCGTGAAAACGACGGATGTTGGCTCCTACCAGCCACGAAGAACTACAGGGTGTCATTTAAGTTCCCGCACAAAAGTTTGACGCCATGAAGAGCTTGGCTGATGCACTTTTCGTGCACCAATACAACTTATTTTTGTTAAATAAGGTATATTTTACTTACTTTCCAAGTTTCACCTCATTCGGATGTGTTTCCGAGAAATGACGAAGGCTAACATCCATCGCGCTTCCATTATCGAACTTCATAAGCAAAATGTGAGCCCGAGAGACATCATTCAACGGGTCGGTGTGCCTCGTAGAACGGTTTACGACACCATCAAACGTTTCAAGGAGCTAAATACGACCAGTGACCTTCCCAGACAAGGAAGACTCGTCTCAGTAACCACTCCTCAGAAGATCAACGCCGTCAAATCGAGGATCAGGCGAAACCCCCACAGGAGCATGAGAAAGATGGCGTCAGACATGGGAATGAGCATCTTCGCTATGGAACAAATCGTCAAAACGAAGCTTGTACTGACTCCATATCGTGTCCAAAAAGCGGCAATTCTATCGGCCGTCAACAAGCAGAGACGCGTCGAAAAAGCAAAACGACTTCTTGCTCGCACGCGGTCTGGAGAACACCTCGTCACTGTCTTCTCCGACGAGAAGCTGTTCACTGTAGAGACGGCATTCTACTCACAAAATCATTGAGTACTTGCCCAGACATCCCAGCAAGCTTCTGAGAAAGGAAGAACAATTCATCCAGCCTCACATCCTGCCAGTGTGATGGTTTTCGGTGCCATCTGCTCAACAGGGAAGTGCCCCCTGGTTTTCGTGGATCAGGGGGGTGAAAGTGAACAAAGAAGTCTACGTTCGGGACATTTTGGAGAAGCATGTGATGCCCTGGACCCAAACGCATTTCGGTGGGCAAAAATGGGTCTTTCAGCGGGACGGAGCACTCGCCCACACTGCCAAAACTACTGAGGAGTGGTGTCAGACCCATTTTCCCGACTTCATCAAGTCATCCGAATAGCCTGATTGCTCCCCAGACCTGAACCCGCTTGACTTTTCCGTGATGGGGTCTTGCAGGAGAAGGTCAACGCAAAACCCCACTAAAATGTAGAGACTCTGAAGAAGACATTACTGGCGGAATGGGACAATCTTTCCATCGAATACCTGCGTACCACAGTCGAATCCTACCCAAAGCGTCTTCGTGAAGTCATAGCTGCGAAAGGAGGCCGAATCGAAAAGAGTTAATAGATAAATATTTGTTATACTATAGATAAAAAATATTTCGAGTCTCGTTTGATTTGGACTTTTAGTTTCAGAAATATACGTCTTCAAAGTTGTGCGGGAACTTAAATGACACCCTGTAAATCATTCTAAAGAAAACTTTGTCACTTCGTACACCCAGGACAAATGTTGCTTATTTGATTTTATTTTTGAAGAGCAATTCAGTCAATTTTAGAAAATGCGAAAAAAAGGGAAAAATATACGAAAAAAAAAACAATTGGGCATGACGGACGGCGGTGTACACATGGCACGGATTCGATTACTGAACGTTCCGGGAAGTTCAGCAACTAGTTTGCCGAGTTACCTGAGATGATAAGATCGAGTTGAGAGGAGTTTTTTTTCCTCTCTTTTTATATCAATTCTGCTCAAATGAGCAAGTGTGAATGGAGAGAAGCAAGCATAATGACGGTGACCAGATTGTAATGTAGACTCCAGAGAGACTTGTGCTTGGCTCGACCCTCTCGCTATTTCACCGATTTTCTGTGTGTGTGCGTGTGTGTATATATGTTAGACCTATTGTTCGCTCAGATCCGAGGGCACTTCTCAATGATTCGATATAGATTGCCGACATTTTAAAATGAAACAATTTGTGGCGATTTAAGTGCCTTCTGGTTCGCGTCAAAACATTCACCGCTAGAGTTTTGGGCAAAAATGTTTAAGAGAGAATATAAGAAATGACCGGTCACTAGTTAGCAATGGAAAGTCAACGGCTGAATGAAGAAGGAGCAAACAACTACACCTTGATGGTCAACAAGAATTCCTTAAAATAACCAAACATCACTTTGCTTTTCACTTCACATCTGATGTCAATTATAAGGGGCGAACGAAGAATATTGTTTGGCATAATTGAGGAAAAAGTGCTCATTTTAAATGGGGGTCTTGGCAGTCGTCAAAGCAGAAAAAGAGTGTGAGAATTGATCTCTATCACAAACCGAGAAGAAATGTTGCGACACCGTTTTTTTGTTGCCAAACTTGATTTATGTTATTTTTCTCTTCTGAGCCTATCGATAAGTGGCAGGATATTTCTGATAAATATCCAGCAAATTTTCCAACCACCCTTTTTTATGTTACGCGTTGAATAATGAAGAACAAAGTGAAGAAAGTGGGCGTAAGGGACCATGCGAATTTTCTACTTCCACCACTCACAAGATTTAATCCGTTTGCCGACAAAACTCTCAGCCTAATCTAATTCTGATTTATTCTCACTCTCGGAAAACGCAACAAACCGCCAAAAAGGGAATTCTGGTTGCTGGAATCCTCGCCCCCATGAACTTGCATTGTCGTCAACCATTCGAGTGGAAGTTATTGTTTTGCATATTATTAATGCATTAAAGAGTTTATTTAAAATAATGAACAACATGAAAATGAGGAGGTTTCGAGCAAGTATTGGCAGAAATAACCCATGGGGCAGCGCGATCGAGATGGATGACAGCGGAGGTTGCGAATGGCGTACGGGCAGAATTGATCTGAACACAAAAAAAGCATTTGACCCTTTGATGACTGCTAGTTATTAACATTGGAATGTGACGCGTATAATGCGTCCGTTTTCACGTATGTGTAATAATTGCGTTGTTAAAAGTGCTACTATGAAGATGCTGAAGCAAAGCTATATTGCTAAAGCTATAAATGAAAAAAATCTGAGCATTTTCAAATTTTTGCCAAAAATAAAGGTTTTGCCGATTAGAAATAAAATTCATAAAAATTCGGCTAACTCAAATTCCAATATTTTTAAATTATACAGTGCGTTTCACATTTATCAAGGCGCCCCTGTTTTTAGGTGTAACTTAATCAATTCTGAAAAATTTTAAATGCTAATTTTAAATTTGAATTCAGGGCTAAAATACATATGTGAACCAATTTTCATAATGACATCTAAAAAATTGGCCAAATGATATCGAAAATACTGAAAGTTGGTCACTTGCAACCGTTTCACATTTATAAAGCCACCCCCGTAAACGCTGTAAAAACATTATTATAAATACCAGATCAATATTTAGTTGTGGCGCTTTTTAAAGAAAGAACATCGTAAATTCGATTTGGTATCGATTGGACCAGATTTTTCACATATTGGGTAGTCTTGGTGTTGAATTCCGGCACTCCTCAATAAAAGCCGCTATCAATTTTCAATTCATCAATGGATCGATATTGCTTGCCATAGCGACGCAGTGAACCAGCTCCCCCAAACATTCTTCCTCAGAGTTAAGTCTCGTGAGCACGTTGGCCTCTCCAGACGTCGATATTTTTTTTGCTGAGCCAACCCAAAGTCGAGTTGTTCTTCCGTAAATCGCTCCAATACCACTCTTTTCCATCGGGACCATCAAGGTTGACCTTTTTCTCATCCGTGAAAATGATCTAACGATAATCGTATTATTTGATAATGGAATCATCTTTAAATGCCCTCCAAATCATCGTCTTACTAACATCAAGATTCAGCTCTGTCGCAGGAGTTCAATCCGCCCTTGATCCGCGTTTTTTTTTTCGAGGGCTGTTTTTTTCGATTTTGTTGACAAAACTATCAATGCAGGCTTTCGACCGCTTCATGTGTGAAGTTCGACCATCCAGCAATTTGTAAGTTATCGATGGTATCTTTTTCGGCATCGTCGAGTGAAAATCCTTGTGGCATGTTTAAATTTATTTAGAAATGAACATAAAATAAATGAAAACATCGCAGAGTACTCTATTTAAAGGTGCACTTCTTATTCACTTGCAGGTATCCACAATTTCAAACCTTTCACGGGGGTGGCTTTAAAAATGTGAAACGCACTGTATATTGTTGTATTTTTCAAAATCTCCAATTCTCGTTAAGTTCTTTGAAATGTAATCATTGACTTATATTCCTGAGAAAACCGAGAAAATTTTGAAGAAAAATTATGATAATGTAATTAGTGTGGGACTAGTTTGATAAACATAAGTTATTAATATTTTTTGTTTTTGTTTGAGTTGAGCGAATGAATATTTTTACAAAAACATTACCTGTTGTTTGATATCTAATAAGTCTTGGTATTGAAGTGACATAATAGATGAAACCTGGCGATTGTGTTGTTTTAGGCATTTCACAGCACACTTGTCTTCCAGCCATATCCAAATACGCTTGGGTACAAGTGGTTTCACCTAAATAATGATTAGCGATATCATTTCACTTGTACTTACTTGGACAATTAAATTCATAGCCATATGCTGGTGTGCATTCGATATTTATTTGAGTGTTTGGATAATAAACGTTTTTTGCAAATGGTGGGCACACTGCCGGCTTGTAAGACGACGAAATCCCATAGGTTGACTTAATACTTTTAAAAGAAGGTTTCGTCGATTCTAAAGTAATGATATTTACAATAATAGTAACAAAAAACCTACGATGTGACATCATTGGATTCACAAATCCTTCATTATGAACAAACCAATTTCTTTCATTTCCAGCTAAGTTATCATCATCATCATCCGCCGGAGTAAAATCTCAAATTTGAACGTAAATCTGAGTAATTACCATTAAAATTATAAATTACCACTTGCATGAGGAGTTGATGAACTTGGTTGTATCGTTAGAGTTATTTTTGGTATTGTGCAGCAAAAGCCGATAATTGACCCTGGCTGTGAACTCTGGCAGGAATAGCCAACACTAAAAATAAATACGATTGAGAAAAATTAGTTATCCATTGGCTTTTGAATTTCAAAAATTAATTCTCAAATATCCCGAAACGACATTTACTAACTTGCACTGGGTTACACCAACTGTACATCTGACAGGCAATTGTGTAACATAATCTAAATATGGTTTTGTTTCAGCCGGACAGCTTGCTGAAAACATTAAACATTAATTTTTCAAAATTTTCATTTCCCATATTTACCTTCAATGTGCACACTGCAACAAAATCCCCAATATGCACCGGGAATTGCTGGTGAGCAGTAATATGTTGAAGGACATGATGAAGATTCCAAAGGATTGCATTTCATTGTGTTTTTTGACACAGTGTGAATATAAGGTTGCTGGCCGGCTGGGCATATTGCTTAAAGGATAAAACACGTGACATTTCGTGTTGCAAACTACTCACCATCATTTGGAGTACAACAAAAACTATGTAAGCCTTGCGTTGTGCAAATATAGTCAGCTGGACAAGAATCTAGTAGAGATGACGGTATACAACGAAGAGGTTGATTTGTGGAAGCAGTGGAATAGGAAACCGACCCAATTGGGCAAACTCCTAAATGAACAAATTAAACAATTCACAGAACAAAAAACCTGTGGGTGAATGTCCGCAGCAGACATGCTTATTAAACAATTTGTCAAAAACACAACGATATCCAATTGGGCATTCCATAGATTGACAACTAATAGGTGTGCTGTCTCGTGCTAATAATAGTGACTGTCCAGCCAGGCATGCTGTAATAAAAAAATGTGTTTCCTCGTTCGTTTAAAATTGGATAAACCTGTACTCTGGCAAAACCTCATGCACATCTCATAACTCTCAAACTGATTTTGATTTGTCGGATGACAACTGATCACTTTAAACTTTTTACATCTATAATTTCATAATTTGTTTTGAAAAAGTTGTTACTTTACTTCAAATCTAAGGAATCGAAATAATATTTTGTCTTGGGTTCTTCGAAGCAGTCTCCATAACCGGGATTCGGAGGCATTGAGCAAATTGATTCTGAAATTTTAGAAATACCTATTTTATTTAAATGTCTAACCCCGTAATTGACAACAATAACTAATTTGCTTTGAGAAATGAAAATGTCCGGATGGTAGGCATTCCCATCCCTTCGAACAATCTTCATTATTATCACACCATTTCACAACACCGGATCCTGTTTTTTCAGCTTTTGTGCCATCCAGGCAGTATTCTGAAATCAATTTAAAATAATTCTGAAACAGTTGTACTGTACTAATCTTACCTCTTCCAATACCGTATCGCTCACAAAAACTCTCAGAAACTAACAAGCTTAGAATATAAATCGAGAGATTTAGAAAAGTCATCATTGTCGGGCATAGCATTCTCAAAGGTTTGAAAATAAAGGAAATGGATTGAGAAGTCTACTGGACAGTGAGCTTACTCAAATAAAAAATAGCCGCACGCGAAGGTGGGAAAATCGGTATGAATACTGCCAACACTTTATTTATTTATTATACATTAAGGAAAACGCACGGTGAACAAACAAAATTGAACTTGACGAGATTTTTCGGTCGGACCTTCTCGGAATATATAATTATAACGGAGGGATTCCCTAGACATCTATTTATGATAATATGTCAAAATTATTGACAATTATGTTGTTTTTCATTAGCTTAGATTCATATTCAAAAGATTCCTTTTTTCAGATATATTATCATTCTCGCAATGCAGCAATATTATTCCCACTCAAACGGATTCCGTCGGAATACACGTAACACATCAATTTACCAAATAGGTAATCATGATTTCCGCAATATCTTAAAGATCAAGCGCGTTGACTCCCCCCTCACAAGCGTTTTAAACGCATGCATGTAACTAAATACTTTTGCACGTGGGCATAGCCGACAAAAGCAAATGACTGCTAACATTTTTGCTTTTTACTAGTTGGCTCATCGAAAAATGGCTTTAACAGCGTCAAATACTCTTGAATTCAAATGGACTTCTCCAAGAAGCTCTCGGAGCTCATACAGTAAGATTAAAAATTATTGAGGAATATGCATCCTTGAGCTATATTTGTTATTAAATTTAGGAACAGACATCGATCAGAAGATTTCTATAGACATGAGCAATACTTATTGCGATCAGGTAAACACGTTTGCAATCAATTCAGTTTTAATTGTTTTAATTGTTCAGGTTCTTGGTCCTCTATATTCATATATGATGATCCTTGGTCTAAATCATACGCATAGTAGCGCTAGACAAACCGCATGGAAATGGCCGCTGACAATCTACAATTACGTCACACTGATGTTGCTAGTAATGTTTCTTGAGACACTGAAGTGTAACGACATTTGAATTGTAGACGGCCGCAACAATCCGTCGAATCTTGCAAATCAAACAAAAAGCTGAAGGCGCCGAACACGACGCTGCCTTCCATGTTTTGAACCCTACATTTGTGCTCACATTGTGTCATGCTCTATTAATGTTTAGGTAGCGCGAGACGATTATTTGTCTGGTCATATACAACCAAATAATACAGGAATTTGAGTGCAACTGATTTAAAAAAAAATTTCACATGATTGATTAAATAATTAAGATGATGAAATGTTGTTATTTATGTTTCAGCGGTCTTGCAGCTTCATACCTATTACTTGAGCTTCAAAAAGACAGAAAGAAGATGTATCATGTAATAACCAAACTATCTAAAGAAAATTTATTGAAGAATGTTAAGGTTCTCGATCAAGGTCTCGGAAGAAATCGTGACGAAAAGCATGACAAAAAACATTTCAATTTGAACAAATTATTCATTTCCATTAGTTTTTTATTTGCCTCTGCTTTATCAGCAATTCAAGTTTGTATGTTTCAGGTTTATCAATTTCAAAATTCACATATATGTTTAGGTACAAAATTGAAATACATTGATCTACCAGACACGCCAGATCTCATTAACAAAACTCTACCATTCATAATACTTGAGTGCTACATTGTAAGCGATTTTTTCGAAACCCTACATTTCTGATTGTTTCAGATATTTATCGCATCCAGTTCAATTTCCCTTCTCGCGATATTGTTCTTTCAACTCTGCCGAATATTGCAATTCTCAATTGGAAAACTAATTGAAGAAATGGTTCCGAAAGTAAAAGAAGAGTAGGTCACTCAATAGCAATCTTTCGCTAGACCTCATTATTCAGATGTCCATTACCGGAACAGAGTTTGCAACAAATCCACGACGTTCAAATTCATTATCAAGAAATCTCGAACGCTAAATTATATATCGAAACCAAATTCTCATTCCCACTTTTCTACTCATACGGCTGCTGCATACCGCTAACATGTCTTCTTGGATACATCGCATTTCGTAATGGATTGCAGGCGAGTATTCCAATATATTGCTAGATTTGAATTATCACTTTAGGCTGATATGGCAGAAACTTTTTCGGTAATGATATGGCTTATCAATACAATGCTTGCTTTGATGTTGTTCAGCGTCCCGGCTTTTATGATACATGAAGAAGTGAAGGAAAAACGGAAACATTAACCAAAATGTCAATACAATTTATAGGGTGATAAACTTCTTACAGCATCCTTTAAAATGTATTACGAAACTCTCTGTGAAGAGAGAGATTTATTGGTCTTGGTAACAAAAAAGAACAATATAAAATTTCATACATTCATATCTCAGTCTCAAATGAGCTTCCTATCATTTCAAATGCATGCTACAAAACTCACCCTTTCTGCCGGACATTTCTTCCTGATGAATCGTAAAATTTTGATTAGTGTTAGTTGCTGAAGAACTATTCGGAAAGAGAAATTCTCAAATTTCAGCTGTTCTCTGCAATATTCACCTACTTTCTAATTCTTGTGCAACTCGACACGGAGAAAGAAAGGGCGAGGGGCTGTCAGAATCAGTCAAATATTTTGATAGTTCAACCACCAAAATGAGAGTAAAAAAATCAATTCTGGAAAGTCAATTTAAATGAATAAAACACTAGATTGTGATACAAATAATCAATTGTATTATTTCTTTTGTATTCTCTATAGATAAAATATCAGAATAATTCTTTTCAGACTAATTTTGTTTTGCTTTAATAACTTGGATTGTTATTTGTATTTTTTTCAAAACCATTTATGACAGAGACAGAACGTATAAGATACAATTACAATTCGATAAAAAAATAAACCAAAATAAAACCACAAAATATATAGGTACTTCGAATGAAGGTCATGGAACATGAGACATCATACAGATAATGAATATTCAAAGAACGTGAATAATCGCACGAGAATTGTACAGATTGAGTGTTATTGTTAGTAGGTACAAGAAACCAATTAAATGACGGAGCACAAAACAGAAGAAAAATAATGGAATCCCTTATCTACTGGTCACAACAATATGATAGGGGGAAGAGAGAGAGATGAACAAACACAGCAGACACACGTAGGGTACTTTGAACGCACTCGTTTTTCAGTTCGGTCGGTAATTCGCTGGTAAATATTCATCAAGTGGAATTGGTTTGAAAGCATGTTTTGGAGAAAACAATGAACATGAAAAGGTTAGTTTAAAAAAAACTGCAAATAATTGCTAAGAAAACCATTCACAAAGAGTAAATCCATTGAAAATGGTACATACAAGAAAAATGGTATTGTAATGGCGGACAAAAATACCATTAATATTGATTCACATTAAAAAAGGGAGAAATCAAAGTTATTGAAAAGCCGTTGGTCAGCTTCTGTGATCACACGGTTATTCTTGGCCGATGAAAACTTGGCACGTTCCGTGGTGAACTCCTCATCGAAATTGGAAACGTCTTCAGGATCACGCTAAAAGCATTTCATTGATTTCTGTCAACGGCTTCAAAACTGATTACAATTTTTGGCTGGAATGGTGGGCGAAGTTCACGGCTCAGAAGCTTGTCCCAATCCCAATTGATATGACGGAAGAATCGCTGAGTTTTCACGTCTTCGGCGTCACGCTCGCTTGATCCCAAACGCTTTTCTGGAGTTTTACGGAGAAGCTGAATATAAAAAGTATTAATCTCTTTTTCAATTATTGTTCAATTCTTACTCGTCTCATAATTGAAATCGCTTCCACTGACAAATATCTCGGATAACGAACTTCCTCAGAAATAATCGAGTCAAATATCTCTTCTTCATCTTCGCCATTAAATGGTGGCTCGCCGACGAGCATTTCGAAGATCAAGACACCCAATCCCCACCAATCAATTGCACGAGTATAGGAGGAATCGGAAAGGACCTCAGCTGAAAAAAGAAAGTTAAGAATTGGAGCACATTTCGTTATCATTTCTTACGAGCTAAGAATTCTGGGGTTCCGCAGAAGGTGCTTGTTTTGTCGAATGGTCCCATTCCTTCTTTACATAAGCCAAAATCGGCCATTTTGACGTAGCCATCGCGATCGAGAAGAAGGTTATCAAGCTTAATATCGCTGAAATCGATATTGTCTATATTTTTAGTTTATTATTATTGATTTTTACCGATAGATAATATTGTTTTTGTGAAGGAAATCAAGCCCAAGAACGACGCAGGCTGCGTAGAAACAACCACGCTCCTCATCGAACACGTCGTCATGAATATGACGCATTAGATCACCACCCATACTGTATTCCATAACGAAGAAAACATGTTCAGGAGTTTGGAAGCAGCCATGAAGGTTGACAAGGAACGGATGTCTGGCTCTCGAGGCAACTTCAAATATGCGCTTTTCTACTAAGAGCGATTCGACTTCATCACGTCCAAGGATATCGCCCTTTTTAAGGATTTTCAAGGCGTAATAGTTCCTAGAAGCGTTGTGTTGTGAGAGTATAACCTAAAATTATTGACTATTATCGAGCAACTCATTTGAATTAAAAACCTTTCCAAAGTGTCCGCGTCCCAAAACACTGATAAGTCGGAAATCATCAATTGAAAGAGCACTGCCGCGGCCATTTGCAAAGTAATCCAATGAGTGTTGGCGAACAGCTGGAACTGGAACCGGGTCGACTTTTCCTTCGGGAATATTGTCGACGACAAGTTGTTCTTTGGTGGCTGGTGGAGGCATAACCTCCTTCTTCTTAGCTGACTTTCGTGGGTGAAAGCTCTGAATGATAAAAAAAATTGTGAAAAAAATAGTGAGAGAGAGAGAGAGTGAGAGAGAGTAGACACTTGTTCAATATTGCTATTGGCGACGCAATTATATTTTTATCTGTGCGCGGTCACACAAAAACGAATTGAAATTCTTGGAAAAAGAATAATAAATTGAATCTTATAGACGGCCACCACGAGACGACACAACGCCGGTTTAGATCTAGAAAACTTTTCAGCTGAACACATTTTCACGGTTGCTGTCAGGTGCATTTAAAAAAATAAGTTATGAAAAAAGAATGTGCTAAAACTATAGATTATATTAAAATGAATTCTCGCTCATTGCATTATTTTTTCAGAAATTAATGAAAGCGTATTTACAAAAAATTAACCTTAAAGTGTTCTTCCTCACATCTCCCATTAACAAGTCAAAATGTACAATCACAACAAAAACTCACAAACATATTGTTTTTCACCTTTTCGACTGGCTGAGCAGACGAGCAAGGTTGTTGGCTAGAAGATGATTGGTGGTTGCTGCTGCTGTTTCCACGCGACGATGAGGATTCTCCATAAGCTGACGTGTAGGCTGGTGCTGATATTTGGCTCATGTAGGCTGAATTTGTACAATGATAAAATGAGGTCATTTGATGTAATTCCTTACGTGGATGGTTGTTTGGTGTTTTACCATTGAATTCCACAACCGGCTCATTTCCACGGCTCTTGATGAGACGAGAAAAAGCAAAGACTCCAAGCTGCTTCTTTGCGCTAGCATTTTCTGCTCCTTCTGAAATTAATTAAATTGGCGTCCTTCGAAACATCCGCAACACCAGCAACAAACCTTTGACTCGGAAAAGACGTTTTTGACGTTCCAAACGAGGCTTGCGGCTTACAACCGGGTTCAAGTAACGGAATTGGACAAACAATTGGCCTTGTGGCTCAAGCGGCACCAAAATTCCAACTTTCAGTGGAGTTTCAATCAAGTTGCTCAATTTGACAATAGCGAAAGCGCACATGGAACGGTCATCGTGATAGAAAATTTCGAATTCCAATTCGCGAGACTGAAAAATCCCAATATTGATCATCTTGATAACCAAATGAGATCGTACTCTATCAAGGTCGCATTCAAATGTCTGATCCCAGCATTGTTGGCCAAGTGGATGGATTTCAGTTTGTCCGATAATTTTTGAATCAACACGAATAACCACGAACACTTCATCGCTTTGGCTGAAAATATTGTTATTTCAGCTGTTGTTAATTTACACCCAATATTGCAATTTTCGCTCTCAAAACCATTCAAAAACGATATATCGTGCCTCATAAAAGAATAATTCAATAAACAACTAACCCCGATTTGGTCGACGGACGATTTTTCGATTTTGAGGATGAGTCTGAGTTGAAGAGGCCACTAGAAGCGGAGACGCCAAGAGCTTCTGTGCGAAGAGCGCGGTCGACAACTTGACTCACAACGCCCATACATCCATTTATATGAATCTATGAAACATGCTTGAATATTTGCAAAAACTCGGATATTGTCACAACAATAATAAATGTCTATTATCGTGCTTGAACGTTGCAACACATTCTGTACTCACTTCTAATCTTCCACTGATTGCCAAGGTTGGTGGCATGACACTATGGCGACGACCAAACATATTCCTTGGAAGGCTTCCAGTATGACTTTCTTTTGAATTGATAGCCGAAGCTGGTGGACTGAATCGCTCCAAATAACGCGTTTGTGGCGGGGATGGTATTGTGCTCTCCCCAACTTCTTCTCTCAGTTCGTCGCATCGTCCTGGTTCGGAAGGAAGAAGAGCACTAAAAAATGAATTTTGTTTGTTATTTATTTAAATTAAACATGAATTTCCTACCAATATTTGAGAAGTGCCATTCGTATGAGATCGGTTTTTTCGGCTGATTGCACATAGTTCTGCGACGCGTCATTAAGGCTTTTTGGATCCGCTTTCTTTTGAGCGCGGAGTGTTCTAAGCATATTGCGAGCACCATCCATGAGAGCTCGTTCCTTGTGGAATCTGTACAGGAGGTCTTCAATCAAGAGCTCAAGACTAGTTTTATTGACATCTAAAATTCAAGAATTTAATAGTTCTATTCTCACGATGTATTAATACCTGCACTCAGTTGCTCTTGACTGATTCGATCGATCTGCATGCGGAGCATAGCAATCTTTGCTTTACTGTCATCAAGCAGACTTTGCGATTCATTCCGGCATGGTTGACGTGGTCCAGCATTCCGTAAATAATTCTCCAAGCCTCTTTTAACCTTCATTTCCTTCTCCAATTCTTTTTTCAGGGCAACAAGTCGCGGATTTTCTTCTGCAGGTTTTTCCTCCCCGTCTTCAGCAGGAGTTTCCGAGCTCGATGGTTGTTCACCCGTTTCACCCGTTGACGTTGAAGCTCCTTCAGTAGCAGCAGCAGGCAGCGAAGCCGATGCACTGGCACTACTGCTCAAAGCATCTTTGTCCTCGTCTGGAAAAATAAAAACAATTAATTGAAGGAGAGATGGGAAGTCAATCGCACCGAAAGCACCCGTATCATAAACATCAAGCGTTTGCAGATCCTCTTGCATGTCAGCAATTTGCTCACTAAGCTCCCGGAATTCCTTTCGAAGGAAATCCTGTTGGCGTTTGTCATGGGTCAACCGTTGGATTTGAGCATATCCTGCTTTAATTTTCAGCTTTTTGTTGAGTGATTCGCGAATGATGCGCTTCAACTCAATAGCCTGCAATCAATAATTTATACGTTGTGATTGATTATGTTGTTATTTACCTCTTTCTGTATGCTGTTATCCTCCACAATAGTATAGTTGTACTTGCTTGCCAAATCGATAACCTCCATTGGTGCAGTTTCCCAATATGAGCTGAAATCAATTTGAATTCCATCGCTATCAAAACTATTTGCATAATTTTGATTTTTTGTTTATCAACACCCCTCAAAACGTGGAACGTCGTAGTGCCCCTTGTTTAGCATATTTCAATTATCAAAATTTACCGAATTTTGGTTTTGGAAATGTAAATGTTTACGAGGTGCAAAATGGAAATAGTCGGCAGCGGTTATATTCGTTTTTATATGTCTTTTTCTTTTCTTTCAATGTATTTCAAAATTTATTTTATATTTGAAACTTTCGGGTACGCTTCGTTCCATTCTAACAGGGTATTAAAAAAAGGATAATTGCATACAAATAGGATTAACCACAAAATACTAAAAATTTTCCTCAAAATGATTCACAGAATTTGTAATTCAATTTTTGGTTGTCGGTTAAAACCCTACACGAGTTTTAGTACAACACAAACCGTTTAAAATTGCAAAAAAAATTGGCGTCATCACAAAACAAATAGCATCACAACAGAATTTCATAACCAAAAAAGCATTGCATTAGTGAAGGGATGCACACACACACACTATAGAGAAGAATTTATTGAAAATGTATTCAAAATTCTGTCAATTGGTCTTTTCTTGTTTGTTAAATGGTGTAATATGATGTTGCTTACACTATAATAGCATAGCGTGTTGTGAGAAAAAAAATGAAAAGTCCCCCACAAAAAAAAGGTCAAAACCTTTTGAAGCCGTTTTCGAAGCGTGTTGCGTTTGGGTCATCTTCATCATCATACGATTCCTCGAATTGCGCCGGCGATACAGTACATTCGGGAACCACTCTACGAATGATCGGTCGTATCTTCTTCTTGCTTGCACGAAGCACGGTACGGGTGAACGTTACAAGGGGCGACTCATTGCGTGCGTGCGAACGAGGGGTACGGGTGGATTCAGGAGTTGAAGGGTTAGAAACACCACACGATATTTTCACACCGACGGCCGAATACCTTGTCGTTTCAGCAACAGCTGGACTACCGTTGGATTGTTTCTCCATTCCAATAAATTGTTGATTCAAATCTGACAACGGAGCAAAGTGTTGAGAGAACTGATGAGACTGGTTCGGTCTTGTGAACTACCTGAAAATGGTTGATTTGGTCATTCGAAACATTAAACAAAGCGACAATGGCGAAAATTCCCTCAGGCCACCGTCGACGCAGCTAGTCGACATTTCAGAATGATTGGTCGATGGGATTTGGTGGGAGGGGGCTGTTGGAATCCTCTCGAGACTCACAAAATAGGCCAGCTAAACATGCGCACACCCAATAAATACATTTATAAAGAAAGGAAGAGAATGTCTCAAGATAAATTGAGAGCAGCCTAGAAATCCTGGGAAAAAGACGGGCAATTGCGTGCGATATATGATATGTTCATCAAGGGTGACCTCTTTCTCGTCCCGCGTTCCCCCCATCACACAAAATATGGTTAGATTATGCAATTGATCAAGAGCCCGCCTGAATGGTCGCATTCGGATAATTGTACAAGAAACGAACGATAAGAAAAGGTTCAACAATCAGCGGCTGTTCAGATATATACAGCTGACCGCTGTGAGAAACATGGTGGATTGGGGGGGGGGGAAGATGATAGGATATTCCACAATGCCGAGGAATGAATGAATGAAAAACGTTGGGTCACTGCGCTTCTTTTTCTTTCTGCTCCGATTCAAGCGATGAATTGACAAGCAACGGAAATTGGTTTTCTTGAAAAGAGAGAAAATGATGGCTGTGGTTTTGCAAAAAAAAATAAATAAACGATGGGTTTGACAAAAAAATTAGTGGAAGAACAAAACGAATGGTATTCGTCATTATGGCTGGGTCGTTTCGCGCCTTTCCTTGAACAATAGCACGGTATTTGTGAGGTTGTCTGTCTGTCGTGCGCTGTCTCTCGTACTATCTGGTGTCTCACTCATCCCAAACTCCTTTCGTCCTCACATTATTCGTTTACAATAAAAACGCGCTGAACGCTACTCGGAGAGGCCGTAAGAAATCGATTTATGGTTTCAGTGGGAGGCGGAAAGCTGACATCTTGCGAGTATTGCCGGGGCACTACATTCAAGACGTTATCAATTTTCCGATGATCATAGCCCAATAGCTGCTGTTTCAAATTCACAATCTAGGAAAACAAAATAAATGTAAAAAGAAAAGAGAGAACCAGGCGTAGATTTTGTTTTGAAAATTACACGAAAAAAAAACCAGAGGGGTGCAAGCATTCAAAACAAATGATAGATATATATTGTTTTCTATAGTGGCGAACAAAAACACAAAAAAAGATAATTGAACTGCAATTTTTTTTCGTTCTTATAGAAAGGAACTTGCGGTCGGCAGTGTAGATGGAGGTTTTATGAGAGTGATAAGAGACAGTTTAATGCAATTCTTAAGTCGACTTAATGTTGACCAAAATGTTGATACGCACACTTATTCAAATGAGGGATTGCCGCGAAGAGGACGACGACAGCAACGCGTTTGTTCCGGCATTGTAATGAGGAATTGTTATGAACACAAACATAAATTTGAGCGGCTTCGAAATGCGACAAGAGAAGAGATAGGGATGAAGCGAGGGTGAAACTCGCAACATTGATAAGATGCACTCAGGTGATTTGAAAATTATTGTGAGAAGATATACGAACAGCAGTCAACCCGTCGTCGACTAACAGATAGCGAAGATTACATTGTAAAAACCTATGTCCTATCTATCTCTGTGTGCATATGGTGGGGAGGAGGTCGAAGGCAGTGAGGATGCAATGCGAGCAAGGAGGGCGCGTCGGTCGCAAAACCACAGCCGAAAAACCGCCCTCCCTGCGTCTTTTCCTTCCCACTGTGATGGATCTCAGCAGAAAAAAATAAAAAAAGCGGGAGCAGGATGGAAAGAAATGGCCAACTCAAAATGACTGATGGTTTTGAAATGAGAAAGGCAGAGCTCGCCAAAATCAAACATGTATGACGATTGAATCGTTGAATCCCTCCTCAAATGATATATTCTTCCGAATTGAAAACGTCAAAATATTTTGAATGAAATTTTGATCGCAAAATGGTTGCTCAAAAATAATTTTCAACAGGAAGTGTCTATCAGGGATGTGATCAAAATCAGAGTTATTGTCGAAAACATTCAAAGATAAGGCCTTGATAGTAGGACACGTTTGAAAACAAGCTTTGACTCATTCGTACAACCATCCACACATATGGAAATTTTTTAGGTGTCTTTGCAAACACTTGGTATCATCATATATACATTATTCCGTTTTTCCATTTCTTAGACATATTTGGATGTGTTACGGTGGTTTTATTAGATTTGTATAATTGAAACAGTTTCGTTTGGCTTAAAGGAGCACACATCATAGTGAGTTTGGAGGAACCACGCTATCTTCACCGCTAGTCCCAAATTTTATGGGTTCACCTTCATCTTCACAAACTGGCAAATATTGCACACCCATGCCGCATTGTATGTCTAAGCAATTCGCCGACTTATCACTACGACAATGTTGCATGTGAATAAATTGTAAACGATTGGCGACAGGAAGTTGATTCAATTTGACTCCCACAGTTTCCCAACTCGTGGGTGGGGCATACTGAAGAAATAAAAGTAAACAACGACGAGACGATTAAAAATACTGCAGATATTTGAAATAAACAAGAAGTTGGTGCCAAGTTTGCTTTCTCTGTTTTAGCACAAAAAATAGCATAGCTACAAAGTTGTGAAATTTGATAGGGAAGCTAGTTTGCTGCAAAACTAATGATACATTTATTTGAAATAGAGACATTCTGATGTATCGCTACTTTAATATGCGTCAGCAGTTGCTGAAATTTTTGGAAATTGTCGGCTAAACTTTATAAATGTCAATAAATAAATAAATATCTGTATATATCTAAACTAGGTGACTTATTAATATAATTTAAATTGGAATGTGTGTTTCTAAAAATTATAATCAAGCGTAAAAATGCGTGACTTTACTTTGAGTTGCAAAGACTCAAGACAAATAACGAATATGGGTCTCAAAGGGAATAATCTAAAACGGGATCCGAGGCCATCAATCTTATACCATAAATTGTTGGATATTCTCAAACCAAATTTAGAATGAGATCTGTCATTTCCATGCATTCTTGTGAGGGAGGCGTCTCAACGGACCATAATCGAGCTTCCGTAGGAAATCCGAATTGTGTATTGTTCGCAGAACAAAACAATTTGTTTATTCTAAGAAATTTGGTCACTTATTCAAATCTCTTGGCCCGGAAATATGAAAAAAAAATCGGAGCGGAAGTCATTTTCCCCCTAACATGCTCTATTGCTATTGTTGGAAAACTGACATTACCCATCGTCTTTGTTATACGAACGCCCCGGGGATATGCACTCAAGGCTCATATTTTTCCAGAACTCTCAGTCGATCCATTATTTCTTGAAAAAAGATGGTCACTATCAAGAAGATGCGCACTTCTTTTTTTGACAAGATAAATAAAAAACCATAAAAATCTACAAGATAAGATTAGCCAATCAATTAAAAATATAGTTTTTTTGAAACGTTAATTTTCTTGAAAAATAATACGAAATTCAAATGTCATTTGAAGCAAATGTAATTTGATCGCAGAAATCTTTTTTTTACAAGGATAAACTACTCTGATTACTATCTTTCCCACAGCAAAAAACAATAGTTTTTTTCATTCTGGCTGAATTCACGTCGGCAAACGTGTTCTATCAAATAATTAATTACCTCAATGCAGCTGATCGACGAAATGAAGACACTGATGACGTTCGATGCGTTTAGATGCCACGAGAATGTTGTTGAAAATTGATTAGTTGACGAAAACGTTTCCCCGAGTTTACCTGAAAAATTGACAAATGCATTTCGAATGAGTCAGAAAGTAGAAAAAGGCGCAAAAACGAACATGAATGGCGGTACTGTTTCAAACATTCAAACTAAAATAGCAAAAACATTTCACATCGTTTTGTTTTAATGGGCTCTTATTCATACTTGGTACCACGCGTCTCATCTACTATCAACAAACGCAAACAGTTAGGTTCACAGCATTAAAAGCCATGAAACGATGTGAAAACTGTGCGCCGGGAGCGCTACCAATTAAGACGGTCACTTTCTGGGCATGCTCTGATTTGCATTTGGTGCTCAACAGATAATAATCATGATTGCTCGCAAACAAGTCCAAATCCTATTGTTCTTTAACGTCTATTGTCACGTTGGCTCACCGAAATGCGGAAAATGGATGGAGGAAAATAGGACAGTGGAGGGACGCAGGAGTGCGCACAGGTGCGGAATGCAAGTGGTATGATATTCGACCTTCCTCTCGCTTTCCTTTGCCCACGCTGTTTTGTTGAACGAACGCCGTTCGAGAATGCTGACTTGGAAGGTCAAAAATAGGGTTGATAGAAAAAGTGTACCAAGAAAAGAATTGAATGCGACAACTGCATTTTATGGACTTATTCATGCAATAAAAAATGTAAAAAATTATACATTTTTTCAATGTGGGGTTGGAAAAAATGGGCATTTAATATAAATTATTTTTACATTTTTTTTTGTAAAAAAATGCATTTCATGAATAGGTCCATTAGGGTGTATACCGTCCACGTTAACACTTTCACGATTAAAAATGATTTGTTTCGCTTCACTGATCTCGCATTGTTTTTTTTGCCCATTTTCGGCTATATTTACCCCGAGTGTGTGAAATACACAGCAATTGATGATGTCCAAAGAAAATTGATGATGACTAGTGAAATCCTACGAATAATGGAGTGAAGTGATTTCGTTTCAGAAACATTTGTCGCCTAGATTAATTTAGCGTAATCCAATTTGTTGGGGGAGCATTCACAGCAAAAACGTCATAATAAAACAATAATATTCATAGTGGGTTTGCTGAAAATGAGGTATTTGAAAGAAACGGTGTGGAATCAGTGCTTTCGATAAATGATTATCGTTTCATGTTTATTTAAAGTATTAACTGAAATAAGACTTTTTTGAGGAAGCAACACAGTAACTTAATTCAATGCGAAGAAGAGCATTAATGATGAAAGTAAATATGAAGTGCAGTAAATAAATGATTGAATTCGAGTGTTTATTTTGGTCTCATCTTTAGTATCTATATTTGAATAACTCTCACCAAATTAGTGAAATTGAGTAGTTCGTATCGATTGGTTGTTGGAGCCGAACTAGCGGATTGAACGAATTGTTTTCTCAAAATCTTCGTGTGGATGCGCGGCCAACAAATTTTTGTGCCTTCTGTATTATCTCTTGCATTTGGTCGGACTAAGCGCTATTTGCTCTTATTGTTCACGTCATGTCTTTTGTGCGACGAGAAAAAAAATTTCTCTCTCACTGTGTGTGTGTGTGCCTCAAAATTCGTTTGCCGTTTGTTTGGAAACGTTTCGCTACCGGCTCGATGAGTTGGATTGCGGCAAGAATTGAGACCTGTCGTTGGACACCTTGAGATATCAACACATTTTTATGCGACAACAGGAATGACTTGGCTCATGCCGTTTTGCTGATGACAACTTGAAAGATCAGTCAAAATTTCGGATCGATTGAGAAGGAAAGGGGGGGTTGCATTTAAGTACAAAGCCCATTTGTTTTATTATTGATTTTCAGTTTATAAACAAGGATGAGAAGAAAATGAAAAAAAAATTAAGAACGAAGAGAAGAAATTCGTTGTTTATTCTCGTAAACAAAAATCGTGTTACCATAAAAATTATATTTTGATGGCTTTTTAAAATCGAATAAACACATTTACAAGTAAATAATCGGAAAATTCGAATCTATCTCATTGTTTTTAAATGTTTGCTAATGACACTAATATTAATAAAAAAAGACAGTGACGTTCTAATTTTTGATAGCAGGCAAATTGTTTTTTTCAAAAACAGCTAAAAGATTTTTAAAAATTACTATTTCGTAATTAGATTTTTAACTTTACTACCAGATAAAATCTAGAAAAATTGCCAATGAGGGAATATACATTTCAAATATTATAGAAAGAGTGGCGTATGTGAAATTGGTGTTTATCTTAAATGGAAAATAGGAAGAAGTTCAAAAAACGAAGAAGGGCGACCGCTCGATTATGGGCATGACCCAGTGCCTTATGTTTCACGCTGTGTTGTCACCTGCCTTGTCATCAAATAACGTTAAACGACGTTTGTTTTGCGTCGCAATAAATACTAACAACATATGGAAACACGTTAAGAATACGGTATTGATGGGGAAATACGAAGGGGAATCAAATCAAATTTGCTCCGAATTGGCTTCCTTAAAAGAGTGTTGTGCTTTGAAGGAAAATGCAAAGGCGATGACTATTCTAATTACAGAAAGCAATATTTTCACAATGAAAATAATATCAGGAGAGCCAAACAAGCTAGTATTAAATCAATTCGCCAATATTACTAGTCGAGACTACACTCCAACCTGGTCATACTTACAGTATACCATATTACGTTTGTTATATGACGCAACATTCACCTAGACATGGCGTGAATAATCTTCTTCGATAATCTTATACTAGATATGAATGTTGTCTAAAATGCAATAAATTATATTCATCAATATACAGAGAAATAATGCAGTAAGCTGTAATTAAGGTTGAAAACGAGAAACGTGTTATTGGAGCTATTGATTGTTTTTCACAAGTTTATGACTAAATTTGCCTTTTAGACCGATAGCAATAGATTGGCAATCGATAAAAACGGTTAATGTTGGTTGATAATATGCCCATAAACGGTTTATGTGTGTCCTCAATAGTAAAACTTGATTCGTTTCGCCTAATATGAAGCTAATAAAGAAAACGTTTGAAAAAAATGCATTTGTTTTCATTTTAATTTAGTATAAGCTCCGAATTCCGAGGGTATGTCGGAATGAGAAAAAAAGCAAAAAATGAAAATCAATACTTACAATTCTAAAAAAGAAATATGAAGCAATGCTGCTGTTCTAGAATAAAACTATTGATTTTACTTTTTTTGTTTAGGGAAAAAAATGTTCTATACAAAATGGGACATCACCAGCAAAACAATTATTAGAAAACGATAAAGAACCGAAAATTGAATATTATTATTAAATTACCGTATTTTCAAATATTTTAAAAAGTAAAACAGATGATTTAATGATTTCACAACATTTTTCAAAAATCAATGATTTTAAAATGAAAAAAAAGGTTTGAACAAGATGACCAAAGTGTTTATTACAATTTTCACTAAATATTTCATAACTAAATAATTACTTTCAAAAATGGAAATTAAAAATAGAATGTTTGGAATCAAAGTAATATGCATCGTAATTTAGAAAGCTATGTGAACTTTATGATTCATAAATAATTGAAGTCGAAAATCGAAAATCTTTTCAGAAACAATTAACTAACAAGAAATTATTGGAAATGGGTATGAATAGAACGGCAATCAGCACCAAGTTAAAAAAAAAACAAATTTAAAACGAAAGAACGAAAACACGAAAGAGAATTTTATTCGATAATGCCATTGGATGCATTTTGCTGTCCGAACATCACATATTGGTGTTGGAATGGGATTATCGAAAAATGCGGCGTTTTCTTCCACAGATATTTTAACAACTTTCCGAAATTTTTTATTGGCGATTTCGCGCGACGCAGCATGAGCATTGACTTAGTTTATTCTAAAAAATAATTCAGAGACACAGGTTGTAGTAAATCTTTCAAAAAAAAGTAAAAAAAAAACACATATAAAATTAAATTGCCGATTCAAGGAATTTGCTTTCCTTAAAAGCGGTTTTGCAATTTCTTATGGTCGTAATATTGTTAACGAGCGTGACATTTGCCGGAGTATGAGTCCATTGGTTAGGCTACATGTTACATGACATCTTGTATTATTCAAATCTTCAAATTTCCTTCAAATTTGAATTGTAAGAGAGAAAATATCATTGTTCGTCCGCAAGGATATATTTCGCAATTTTTGGATTTCAAGTTCGATTTATTTTTTTTATTTGTTAATATACTCAATGCGTTTATTTAAAAGCAATTCGCGAAGCAACCTAAAAAAATGTATCGAAATTGAGCCAATAACACATTTCAAAATAATGACGGACATGAATTGTGCAATGGCCGAATAATTGGCGGCCGCGGGCGTGGGGCGGTCAATTATTGAATGGGAGGGCAGTGGGTGGCATATTCGCCCCTCTCCGTATGCCTTAAACCCTGGAACCCAGAAATTTTGTCCTCTATTTCTAAGATAATTCAAAACAGCCTAATTGAATTGCTTTCGAAGGGTTTCGAAACGCCTCATCGATTAAATTCAAAATCACGTGAAAAAATGTTGTTAGAATGCAACGATTTCGAGAAAAGTAAGTCAATACAATCACAAAATCTATTGATTGATCAGAACGGCAAATCGCGCCGATTCTGGCCAATCTCCCGGACTATCTGCCGCATAATATTATTAAATTCTGAATTAACGATAAAAAACAACACAACCAACAAACTCGGCATGTTTTTTTTTTAAAAGCTAAGTGAGTCAATTTGAGCAATTTCATTTTATGTAATTCGAAGCAATTAAAAATATAAACATTAAAAGAGAAAATTATTTTTACATCATTCGAAAGGTGCTTTGTACCATTTTTTTTCAATGATGGATCATTATTAATTTCAAAAAACATTGGATATCTTACAAGTACGGGAGAACCGATAATAAATTAAACGCCGAAATAAAAAAAAACGCAGAGCTCAAAAACAGGTGGAAAATGTGGGGAAGAAGAGTGAACGAAGAGATTCCGTCGAAAATCACAGTGATGGAGTTTGTCAGTGAAAAAAATTACAAGATGATTATTAAAGTTTGTTGCTTAAATAGTACGGAGCATTTAAATTCTTCTGCTGTCCCGACGGCGGCTGTTGTTGCGAACGCGTCTGTTGCGGCACTGACATTTGCCCATTAAAGTTCTGTGGCACCGTATAGTTTGCTGACCCTTGCATTGCTTTGGAATTGTCAAATGATTGATTACGATGCGGTGCAATTTGTTGACCCTGAAATTCACTCGAATATTTGCACAATGTTTCAAAGGAATTCGACAAAACCTGCATCATGATCATCTCGTTTTGCTGCTGTCCCGCATGCTGTTTGTAAATATCATTTGCCGAGTGCGAATGCTCGCCGAATGCAGCAACTTGCTCATCAGATCTTCCTTGATGACTCGTACTGGCTCCCAGTTCACTGAAAATGATGTCATAGAAACATTATTTATTAATAATTCTTTACTCATAAAAGTTCTCCTCGCATTCCATTTGCTGCGACCAATCTTTTGACGGATTCATTTGCTGATTGATTTGGGAATTCATTTGTTGGCTTATTTGAGGATTCATCTGCGAACCCATTGGATTGTTCATTTGTTGGTTCAATTGTTGATTCATAGACGCATTGATTTGCTGAGGATGCATTCGTTGCCCATAATCTTGCTGACTAGTTTGGGGATGATTCTGCTTATTCCAATCGATATCTTTAGCGATGTCGTCCATTCTGCAAGGCATAATAATTATGTTACGTATATATTTTTCTGTTCAATTTTTTTACCTTGCATTTGACGGATTTTGCAACGGTTGCATATAAGCATAGTTTGCTGGAGGAATTGGGTTTCGATTCGAAGGAGGCTGCTGCGAAGAATGCCGTCTTCGCCATTCGCCATTTTCCGGATCAGCTTGCTGCTCATTTCGATAAGCTTGCTGATATGCTTGATTATCATAAGTCAAAACTTGTCCCGGATAAAGGCCAAAGTTCTGGGACTGTTGTGGCTGCGGTTGTAGCGGCATTGTCTGAGGCGCTGGTGGTTGCGGTGGGTATTGATATTGCGGATATTGATTATGAATAGAAGCTGGCTGAAATATTATCTTTAAAAAGTTTGAACACGATGCTTTAATTTACCGGCTGCGATGGAGCGCGTTCCTTAACTTCTTCCTTTTGTTTCAAAAACGGATGTCGAACCACATAATACGGAGAAATTCTCTGTTTCGGATCATATTGAAGCATGCGCTTGATTAAATCCTTGAATTTGCTATACTCCTCAACTGAGTGTCCTGGTTCTCCAAGACGTCTTGCCCCTGGACCACCTGAGGTCACTCCCAAAATGTCGTGCAGCTTGCGTGTTCCCGGTGCTCTATATTGCTTACGATACCCATCACGAGTTTTCTTGCAATAATAAACACCATCTGAAAATAAAAATCGTAGATCAATCATATCACAAGAAGTGCTACCTTGGGTTTTATAGAAGTACTCGTGAGTCTTTGGTCCTGCGTCCAACATTTCTTTCGGCGGCATTCCGAGAACTTCGACAATTTTCATCATCTGATCAAGTTCTGATGATCCAGCAAAAAGAGGCTCACCCGTATGCATTTCAACAAGTATACATCCTGTAATTATATAGAATTATAATGATATCTCATTGTTCATTTATTATACCTAATGACCACATATCAATTTTGGTGTCGTATGATATTCCCAGCAGTACTTCCGGGGAACGATAGAAACGAGATTGAATATATTGATATATACGATGACCTAATTGGCACGAAGAGCCAAAATCGATAACCCTGATTTGTGAACGTTTGGCGTTAACCAGCAGTACATTCTCCGGCTTCAAATCGCAGTGAATAATCGAAAGCTCTGGGGATGAAAGGAAAAGCAAAGTTTTGGCCAGCTGAAATAAATTTTATATGTGTATTCGGTAGAAAGTCTTCTTTTTGTCTGAAATACCTGTTGGGCAAATTTTCTGGCCAAATTGAGCGAAACACCGCGGAAACCAGTATTCTTGAGCAAATCGTATAAATTATATGACAACAATTCGAAAACCAAACACAAGTGCGACCTGTGCACAAAGTGACCCTTGAGCGAGACTGCAAAAAATAATCGATTGAAATTTTTTAAGTCCCGTTATTCGATTATTAATACCAATGTTATATTTATTATCTTTGTCATGCGAATTCATCAGTTCGAGAAGTTTGATCTCAATCTGCGCTTGATCGAAGAATGTCCTCTTATTCTTTATTATCTTGATCGCAACTTCTTCCTTGGTCACCATGTCATAGGCTTTGGTGACCTGACCGAATGAACCTTTACCAACGGGAACGTCGCTCAAGATGACATATCTAAGCATGATTCATTATGGGAAAGCGATAAATGGACTTCACAACCTTTTGTCGAATATTTCGCCGTTTCGCAGAATGTAATCATAATTGTGATCATCATAACCACCATTGTGAGGTCCACCACTTAAATATTGATCGTTATTGCAATTTAAATTGTCAATAAAATTTTAGAAACTCGTATAAAAAGCAAATTGAACAAAAAATGTCTGTACCGGCTACTCTTTTGGCGCATTTGATGCGGATCATTTTCAGTTCGTCTCGGTACCACCATTTGCGAAGCGGGTGGAGCATTGGTGTCAAAGAGAGGTGGACTGAAATAAATATTCCATGAAAATGAAATATTTCAATCGCAAAAAAAAAACAAGCACCCTGCTCAAATTTATGATAAGTATGATTCGCAGGTTATCTGTAGTGAATTCCAGCCTTTTAAATCAAAATTTAAGTGACTGGACTGAAAAAAAGTACGATGTTATACAATTACTCAAGGTGCTCGTTTCTTTTTACGGTGATAGTATTTTTCCTTACGCTTTTTGTTGTTCTTCAGGTTGATAGTTTTGATTTCCACTTTGCTGATACTGCAAACAAACAAATAGAAAACAACAACAAAAATGGGTGTTTACCGCATTCTGAATTGAAAACGTCTCCGGGCCCTGATTGGATGGTCCTTCTATAACCGGACCTTGAACGTTCTGAGTTACCGGCTTGCCCGCTGTTCCATATTTGGCGTAATTCTTTTGCTGCTTTTTGATGTAAAACGACTGAAAATTTTTAGTTGTATGCTTGCTGCGAAATGTGAGAACTACTTCGTTTATCTGCTTGTAGGTTTTGATGAGATCTGTCGTTAATTTGCGGACTGGAGCTTCTTGTGGCGGCCGGAATGTTCTCAGATTACTCGGAGCAGGCTGCGAAGATTGCGGAGCATCTTGAAACGTTATGTTAAATCGTATAATTCAAACGCTACACTTACTATCAAACTGAGTCGTTGAACATTCCATTGAAACTTTCGCCGGATTTTTTGAATAATAAAATGCAGCCGGGACGGGAACCTTGAAAATTATGACGATTGAAAAAACAAATCAAATAGAAATTTACCTTTCTGCTGCTCGATTTATCAACTAGAGACGCCGACTGCTGATGGGGGTGGACACCGATTTCCGAATGAGTCATCATATCGATTCTCGATTTTCGAGGCTTCGCAACTGTCGCCTGAAAACAAAATCAAATAACAACATCGGGGCAAAAATTTTGGTTTTTGTAATGAGAGTGGAACAACTGAGTTGTGCGAGAGAATCGTGGCGGTGAGCGAGGGAAGAAAACAGTCTCGCGCGGTTAACAGTCACTAAAGCTCATCATGAGCACTTTGAAAGCAAACAAGTCAATTTTGCGTAACAACCGGATAGATAAGTGCACACGCGCTTCCTTTGAACAAAAAATAGTGTAATAAAATGCGTTTTTATTTTGATGATTTTTTTGAATCATAGTTCTTATCAATATTTCACTCAAACTTTGTTATTATCGTATTCGAATACTACTATGAGACAGAAAACAATGAAGTTAAACTCAACTCCTCATTCCGTTTCTCTTTGGTAATTCATTCGAACTTAAACTATTTCTTTAGCCTAGGTGTGTTTTCAAGTAGTACAAGCTGGGATCAGCGAAAAAGTGGAAAGATAAAAGAAAAGAATCATAGAGATGCAACTGAGTTTAATGGTTGCACCAATCGCTTTACGCTCCCCTCTGCTACGTGAACGATTCCGAGAATGTGGCGTTCGTTCGATGCGACGAAATGTGCAAAGAGAAAAGAGAAATTGGCTTCTCTGCTCGCCGGGAGCATTGAAATCCCGATCGCCCTTCTCATCCTCCTGCTGCTGCTGCTGCTTCTCCTGTTGATGATGATAATGATGATAATGATGACCGAGTACACTCGGATTGTGTAAGACTGGACAACACTGAGAAACCGGAAGCTACTCGAAACTAATGAAGAACACTACTCATGACGCAAAACCGCTATAGTACAAAACACTAAAACTTGACATCGGATTCTTAACTAATGAATTGAATCATCATATTTTCTTAAACGTCACTCCACGCTATTGCTAGAATGTTCTCAAATGTGACACCCAACAAAGTAAAATCTTATTGACATTTGTCTTTTTTTTAAAGTTCATTTCTAAAGGTATTTGTTGACAATCTTCCTCTTTTTTTTGTGTAACCTCCACGTCTAATAATAATGATTGACACGAATAATATTCAAGTCGCACGAATCAGCAACGCTCTCGTAACATGTGTCGGCTCGCCGTGAAAAATGGCATTTCAATTCCTAAATTTATGGGCTCTCGCGCTTTCAAACTCAATGGGAGATGCACACGCTTAAACACAAATTCAATCAAACAGTTGAGGATGTGGTGAAAGGATGGGTTGGACACCTAGTGGAAAAGATTCGATGTGCGGCTTTAAAATGTTCAGTTCCTCGAAAGTGATAGCGGTGTGCCGCATTGATAAGAGACAAACATTGATTTTACTGACGGGGGTAGCAGCGTAAAAGCCAATAGTGCTCACTAATTAAACATTGTTGGAACAAATTGTGTGTCAAAAGTGATCCCGCCTCTTCAAACATACGCGTCATGATAACAATTGTCTCTTAGAAGTTGGATACATAGGCAAAGAAGTGGGAGAACAGCAAAACGCTCACGCTCATTTTACTCACGTTCACGAGTTCAAACACTTACCTCGCCTGGCTGATTGAACGCGTGCCCCTGGTGTCGGATCGCTGTCATCGGCGGCTGCGGATGTCGCAGCTGCTGGCCACTGTACTGATATCTCGGCGACGACGCTTGTCTTGATGTTCCTGCCGTGTAATTTGGATAGTTCTGATAGCGATACGGCGTTTCGAATGGCTGATGTTGTTGCGGTGGCAATGCCGGAAGCGGTGGTGGCGCTTGCGATGGTATTGGCTGATTCTGATAATCATTTCTGGTGTTGCTGTATTCGGTCTCCGGTTGACACATATTTGGACCGACAACTATTTCCTACAAGAAACACGTAAAATTAGACATTTTAACTTCACACAGTTTAAAATCTTTTACTAATGCACTTCGATCAGAAAACTGTGAAATATGAATCACGGGATTTCGAAGCAAGTTTAGTGCATGTCAGGTATCAGCTGATCATGTGCGATCTTTTATTTCTATGAAACTAACCAAGTTTCCTTCAATATTCAATGACATTGTCGGTTCAAGGGGGTCATGATGGGTTTGATACGATTTTTCAGCCATTATGCTCAATCCGTTTCCACTTATGGACATCTAAAAATAATAAATGAATATCGAAAATTATAAAAATATGAAGCAAACCATATTCGGATTGAGCATTTGAACAGCAGCGTGCTTCGAGGATTCACGACAATTTGCGTACTCATTAGCCATTGGCTGTGCTATATTTTGAAGGTGTTTCCCATAATTTCCGCTGAGCACTTGGCGAACCTGAAAATAATAATAAAATTAAAAAATTCTCAAATAGATTTGAATATTGATTTAAAATAAAACAATTGCTTGTCTATAAGATGCGAGAAAACGCACATTTGTCTGCCGCAAATCATAAAAATGACCAGATAACCTTGCTATACTCGCTAGAGCTCAATTGCGCAACATTACACATAGTAATAATTGCTATGAGTATACATTGGTTTATTTTGTAACACATTTGTTGGTTTTGAAGATTTTTTTTGGTTTTGAAGATTTTGTGTTTGAATTTTTGTCCGATATATTGATGTGAAAAGAGTTTTAATAATCATGTGCACTTCGTTTTATTTTGCTCAAATTTCTACATCTCAAATTATTTTGCAATAGTTGAATGAATATTGGAATGGTGGCATAGATTAGCGGTAGGGAAACCGGTTCAAGTAAACAATAGTCAATAAATACACACAGAAATTTAAAAAAATTAATAAACAGTTCAGTTTTCAATGTCGGAAGCTTGTTGAGCAAGAAAGCGTCTCTCGTGGAAGCGCATGTTTTTGCTGGCGTTGATATCCGGGAGCAAGGAGCTCTTGAGAACTGACATCGGGATGTTGGTTACGGAAATTTTTTCCGGAATTTCTTTGGTCGCTAGAACTTCTTCCGTTTTGCCTTCGACGAGATTGTCAAGCAAGTTCCAGAACTTTTGTGGCTCAAACTCTCCGAACTGCTCATTGAGAGGAAGCTGAGACGGAAAGTAAACAGCTTCTGTGTTATTCTCGTATGCAAGTTGACCTTCTTGTGTGGCGTTTTTCTGAGAATTGAAACTTCCATTGGCTTTCATAATATTGGCAAGGTTCGGCGAAACAGAATGACACGGGTCAAAAGCGAACGAAGTGCTCTGGACATTTGAATTCTGAATAAATAGCATAATTTGAATCATCGGTAAAGGCTTTTTCACCATCATTTTCAAGTTTGGTGGACGACGCAACTTTTCTGCCTCGACAAAGCTCACGGATTCACCCTCATATTTGTCATCATGATCTTCTTGAGATGTCGACTCAAGATGATTTGAGTTATCATCATGACCAATCCGATTTTGATTCGGCGAAAAATGAGCCATTGGACAATGTCTGAATAGCCAGAACCATAATGAAAAAGAACTTGAAACAGAAACGATGGACAACGGATACAATTGAAATGTTTGTAAGGATGATTTTATTTTACACTTCAAAATATTACAGAAAAATGAAGCAAACAAAACGGCGACTAATACGTTGTGAAAGATAGTGAACATAAACGAAACATATATGAGATTCCGTCAATACCTAATATAGAATACCTTGGATAATAGAAAGGTGAGATGAAGAGATGCAAGACGCTTGTTCCCGCCGATGTCTCCAACCACATGGTCCACATTTGTGCACATAATCACTCCTCACCTCTTTTTCAAAGCAATGTCTCGATTAAATAGTAAACAACCATGAGGGAATGCGAAACTACACATTTGTATCAAATATTGCGAGATAATGCAAAATGAGAAAGCGAGTTTTTTGATCATCAAAAGTAATATGAGCAGGAATTCGTCGAGAAGTTCTCAAAAACTCTTGCGGCATATCAGGTTCGATAAAAACACTATTTCGACATGATTGATAAAACTGAAAAAAAAGACATTCTAATATTTTTATGAACAGTCTGATTCCTATAATCGCATACATTGCTTGAAACTAATATGAAATAAGTCTGCTTGGAGAGTTAAACCAATCTACGTTTAATGAAAGGAACTAAATCAAAAATTATTCAAGGGTTAAAACAACATAATTATAGAGGAATATGAGTAAAAAATGAAGCAAGTGGAAAATCGAATTACAAACAGACCATAAAATATAAAAAATGTGCGAAAAATAAAAGAAAAATAGAAATGACAAATTCCTCGCCAGCAATGACTGATACTCCGATCTGATATGCGCGGGCGGAGCAATGACACAACATTGCGATTTTATTTTGATTCCGTTTTTTTTGTTTCTCGATAGTTCCTGCAGGCGTTAAAGACCTCCCGAGAGAAAAAATTAAAACTAGTAAAATAGAAAACACTGTTTCACGGACATTTGTTTTTATTCTACTTGCAATTGTCTCAAAATCACTGTTATAAAATAGTTGATTTTTATGAACCGTTGTGTGTTACACAAACTTCTCCTTTGGTTTAAACTTTGACAACAACTTCGAACTGTTCGTAGAACATTTTAAACATTGCCCATTCGTCATACTTTTACACCAAAGGCGACACCATTACGTTCCCTTGCAATACATTTTTCGCGTCGACCGATATCGCCATTTTTGGTTATTCAAAAACGACACATCGATTGGAATCAAAAAATGAATTGATTTCATTTATCACATCGATGGTTTCTATTCATTCGCGTTCAATTTCTGCCGATACTAACATTTTCACTTTTTCCCAGCTGATTTTACTTCACTTTTGATTTTCTTTTTGACTGACAATGTTCCTAAATCCTTCCAGCAATACTTCCAATTATATAACTGAAAAAGTTCCTTCCTACAAAAATCATAACACTCTAGTTAAAAATATAATAATGAGAGTCATAATATTTTCAACAAATTTCAACAACAATCTTAAATAATGACATCAAGGTTTAAAAACATTCGAATGAATTGAGAAATTTCCTTTTCCTATTTCATATTATTTTTTTAAAGTATGGATTTAATTATTTTATTTTAGATAAAAGTTGAAGAAAAATTTTAAAAAACTCAGGTTTAGAGTGTTTTTTTTTCTCGCGTGAATGCCTTTTTTCCAATAAATCCTTGAGAAAAGTTGACGATTGTATCAGTTACAACTTCTTTACTTCTATAAAGGAAATTTGTCGTTATCACATAAAATCCTTATCAGTTTAATCGAAGGCGGATTGATAAATAATAACAGAAAATATTTGCTTTGATTATATTTGTTGAAAGGCTTGTACTGAAACGAGCTAATAAGATTTTCAAGGCACTTCAGTCAATTAATCAAAAAAATAAATCGACCTTTTCACTAATCAATACACAAGCAGATTGAAAATCCGGTTCGAACAATTTGGCATTATGGTTTGTTTGTAATAGCTTTATTTTATAAAATATATAAATTTGTATTTATTTTTTTATTGTAAATGGCAATTACGTTTTTCTACCCTTAAATATGTAGCTTACAATAGATAGTATTTTTGAAAATAATTCTTTAAAAACTTGCCTTTTACAAATTTTAAGTAGAATTTCGCTATAAAATCATAAACTTTTAAGTCTTTCATAGAAAATTTATGACATTGTTTTATACAGTGATAATTTTTTCATGTTTCATAATTTCTCGATTTCAATTTTTACTATATTTAAATTTGTAATTCGCTACGCATACTCGTTTTATGTTAATCCGTCGCAACAAATTTTGTGAAACACGTATCATTGCGAAACACTGATCATTTGTACAAATTTGGAATTTCCAACAAAAAAAATAGCACTCACCTCAGACATGAAGATTCGCTAGATGTCTTTGTTACCACAATGTGAAGTCACCTCCTCTTTTCTACCGTCCTTTATTACGAGCTTTCAAACAGCTCACAGAGATTCTCTAAAAACGGAAATTTAGTAAAAGGGAGAAGACCAAAAAATCAAAAACAATAAAAAAAGCAGAACTAGCGATTAGTTGGTTTCGCTGGCCACAAATTTCGGAAAAAAAAATTTGTTTTCGATAAATGCGGTGAATTTTCGGAAGTAGGTCATTATGGTTTTGCATTGACATCGCAAAAAACGGCTAATGTGGCTTTCGTTGGGATAGCATTATAACGTCAAATGAAAAAAAAAACATTTATAGGTTTATTATGTATCTGCAAATGCTAAACAACAAACTAAAACAAGTTTTCAAAAAACTCGTGCTTTCAAAACATTGAAAAATTTGGGTGTGTTACTATATTTGTTTATTGTTTTCTCCTTCGATCTATCTCTCTTTCAATCTCATTCATTTTGAACATATGGCACGAGGTTGCCGTAAACGTAGAAACATGAAAAAAAATTGTGTTGAAGCGCGTGTCATAACGCTTCAGCGGTCGAATAAGCGTAAAAAAAGATGAAAAAGGCGTGTCTAATCCGCATCGAGATTTTATTGATAAGGGATAAGAGGAATAAAATATCACATAACACGAATTATTTGCCAATTGAGAGAGAAAAAATTTTGCGCGAACAGTAAGTTTCTGGGTCGCTTTGCGCGATTGTCAACGAGACAGCGCGTGATCGCGCGAGACGGCAGACATTCCGCATAAAAAGGTAGCGTGAGGGGCAGCCGCAACGCGTTGCCGCAGCGCGACACATATTCGGAATGCCATTCAACTTGGAACGCGTTAAAACGAACGGCTTTAGCATGAAATGGAAAAAAAAAAACGCGAACGGATTGAAATGGGAAAAAAAACTGGAGATTTCGAATAAGAGAAACACATGTGGTAAATTTGTTTATCGATCGCGAGTCCCGAAGAAAATGTGGAACAAACGATGTTTCGAACGATTTTGTTTATTAAACTTGCAAAAAAATGTACACAATTCAATAACAAAAAACAAATAGATCGAAAAATTATGTACAAAAAACATGGTTGTTTTAATTAAGAAAATGTCAGCCAATGTAGTGATATGCCATAATATTAGGTTTTTAAAATAATGAGTTCTATCCAGGAATGAGTCAACAAATTAATTACTGCAAAATTTGCTCGCTGCCTTCAAATTTCTGTTTTTTTTTGTTTATTCAGCCATTGTTGAATTCATCGTCAATCACCAATTGCGCTTCTTCCACAGCCGGATCGCCTTGAAGTCGGACGAGTTCCAAAACTTGCTCCAGATCTTCATCGTTCTCCTCGGCCATCATCTTCTCCTTAGAATGTAACCATTTTTCCGGCTTCTCAACGGCTTCAACATCACATCTACAATTGAAACAAAGTAAATAAATAATACCAAGAAAACATACGTTTTGTATTTATTTTGCTCAATACACCATAAAAACAATTTTCGAAAAAGCAATGAGACAATAAACTGCAATGTGTGTTCGGGATAATACAGAAAAATATACCAACTTACTATAAAAGCTGCAAGAACGATGATAGCAAGAATGACGACAATCAGCAGCTCATAGGAATGACTATTGTAATTTCCAAAGTCCCAGTTCTCGAAAACAATAGCGATTGCTTCATTGGCTCGCGATTCACGAATAAATGCAGAAAACAATGCTATCAAATTTAAGAGCAGCATCATGAGTTTTGAAATCTGAAATGCGAAAAGTGAAGAAAGAATTGATAGAATTGAACAGTGATACAAATTACGTAACCAACAATGGGATACTTCTCAATCGGAAGTTGAACAGGTTTTTACTAACTGATATTGTTACCTAACAATATTTGAATCAGGCATTTTTTAACAATAACGGCGACACTAGTTGATTCTTTTCAGCCAACAGCAATTTTCACTAGCGCAGAGAAGACAAAAATGGTGATTTTGCTTTCCTTCCCCTTTCCTTCCACAGAACACAATTCGAAGTCATGCCCGTTTTCTTCACTTCGTATCAGTGTTTTCTTCATCACGAGACAAGATAATCAGTTCATAGGTTAGATTATCCTATGAGATTCTACGTTCAAAACGAATTCATTTACAGAATATTCAATTTGAATACGGCATGGAATGCTAGTGAATTATAAATAAAAACTGAACCCACATATATTTGACGAACCAAAATTCACGATAATTATTGAATTATTTTTCAAAATGCAATAAATGCGATGTGAATAATAAATTCAACATCATTTGTTAGAGATTGTTTCAGTCAAGATGATAGCAGTGAGACTAGCTTAAAAGTAAAGAATTATTGCGAAGAAAACTATCATCCTGTTCCCACTCATAAATAAACCGGTTGTTTCTAATAAACATCGAAATACTTTGAAGTTGAAGTTAAAAATATAATTTAGTGGCATTCGGAAAGATAATTTGTGATGCACTATTGAAAAATTTAAACTATTATGAACGCATAGAACCATTTTCTGTTATTTTTTTTTAAATTTTTGTCTATTTAAAAGGTAAAAAGAACGAATTGCTACTAATATATTTAGCTGATTTTTATATATTTTTTAATTTGAAATTGTCTATTAATTACATTTTGTCGAATTCATCAAAGGGCGGCAAGCATCGTTTTCGAACTGAATGATTGATTTTCAAAAAAGTTCACCAGAGAATTTGTTATATATTTTTTTGAGGCTAAATTTAAAAAAAGTGTCCTAGCTTGACTCACGGACCACAAGCTAGGTATCAACATTATTTTGCATAAGCCAATAAAAATAATAATCAACTGCCTTTTCATAGTGTAAAATAAATAGAATACAAGAGACAAATTTCTCTCATATGGTATATTCAATCGGACCCCTGTCTTGAATTAATAATTTGAAAATTTTCGAATTTCAAATTGAATGTATTTTGTCTCACAAAAAATTCAACTAGGCTCCTATTGTTCACCTATTCATTGCGTCAAACAATGGTTGCATAACAAAGATTCGCGGGCGAAGCGCTTGGGAAAATCGCAAAATTCAAAAATTCGAAGCAAATTTTGGCAAATACGTAACATAGCAACTAATGAAATTCCAGCAATTAACATCTGAAATTTTTTCCCCATTTTTATGGCACACTAAAATTTCTTTAACATAACGAATAGCGAGACATAGTTATCATGGGCCATAACGCATTAGTACAGAAATTCGAAGTTACAAGATCGTTAAACGACAATCGTTACAGAAAATATATTTTCAATTAATTAATAGAAATAATTTTTGAATTTATATAATGGTGATCATGTTCTAAACTGAAATAAATTTTTGAATCCCCAAACATGCCATAATTACATCTGTATATGAGATAATGACTTTAAATTTTTCTTCCAAACACATTTTAAGAAAACTATTTTCTCCTCCTTTCTGGTCAATATTTTTCAATAACACTTGTTTGCCCTTTTATTAAAAACAGAAACATAAAAACAACAATAATTAACAAAAAAAAACAACAGCAACAACAAAATCAAAAACAAATTAAACACAAAAACAACAGGACATTCTATAAAAATCTAGACCATGCCAAGAACGGCATTCGCCTCGGCGTGGATCTCACGATTCCCATTCAACAAATCTTCAACTTCTTCGTCGCGCTCTACGAGCTCAGTCTCCAACATTTTACGCATCAGCTTCTCGCCAATAGACTCGGAGATGTCAAACACGCTTTTGATAATCACGAAAATATCAAAGCCAAGGTGACATTGAAGCTGCTGCGCCATGTCCATTGTGATTGTCTTTCCATAGATCTGCAGTGCACTGTGTAATTCAAATAAGCTTTGTCTTTAAAAGATACCTCTTTCATAAGCGACTTGATGTAGTCCATACTTGCGCAAGTTTTGATGAATTCCGCGAAATCGTAAGTGACCAGGATAGTGAGAGTAAAAATCCAGATTGAATACAGAGCAAAGAGTAACTCATTCATCTCATTGAATGGAATCGAACATGGGAAAGTGTACGCACGATCTCCTTCCGAAATGCTGCAGTAAGCCTTGTGGGGAAAATTGGACGTAGTGAAATTAGTAGGAATCGAGAGAAAGCGGCTCGACAAAATCTGAAATTAATTTTTGCAACATAAATTTCCATGTAATCAATACCTTGAAGCCCCAAATAGGTGTTCTCTTCTCTCCAATGATGGTGCTCAATGCGGAAGATTGGTACATAATGCTTCCGGCATAGGCCAACTTGGCAGCTAACGAACAAACGAACATCCTGTTAAGAATTATGAACTCATTTTGATAATTAAGGTTAAAAGTACCGTGATCGATTGTGGATCACTGGAAGAACGCTGATGTTTCTCAATTTTTGCACCATGTTGTCCACTTCTTCTTCTTCGTCGTGTTCTTCCGGATTCAACAGGATAAGCATAGTTTTGATGCAGAATTGCCTCGCCAATGAGACTAATAATTGAAAAAAAAGGTTTTACGCACAGCTTTAATTCTTACCTCCGGACAATTCAAAGTAAATCCACACGATTCCGGCTAAACCAAACACCACCGTTGAAATGTTCATAGCTTCAGTTGTATTTTTGAAAGCATCGCTGAGGAGCTTCTTTCCTTCAATGTCCGAATGAAGATTAAATTTGGTCCAGCATTGTGTTGTAGCAACATTGGTCCAGTTACCCTCAGGAAACCCCGGATTGCGGCAGTTCAACGGTGTTCCCAGATGGTTATTATAGAAAAGGATACATGCAAACGATATGGTGACCAATGGTGTGATGAAGTTGCACATAATGCGATAGGCGAAGTAGTTCCCGAAATAGGGCATTTTGAATATGACACCGTCGAAAGACATTGCTCGAGGTTTTGCTAAAAAAATACAATCTAAATAAAAGAAAAAATCTAACAGAAGGAAAAAAGCAAGTGGTGAATTAAAAAAAAATTCGAAGTCTCATAGCCCAAGTTGTTTTACCATATGCCATCTAGCCACACACTTTCCCGAGCGCGATCTTAGTCCCGCCCCTCTCTTCAACGGTAAATTTTTTGAAATGAGCCTTTTTTACAGCTTTCGCATATGTTTGATACACGCGCATTTTGCCATATGTTCCAGCTGTTGGATACCGAGTTGATTAAACAATAGAAGCCCCATTGGATACATTTAAAAAAATTCAAACTTGACAAATTGGGATCTAAAATTTCTGAATATAGAGGGGTTATTTCAGCAAATAAATTTTGCCACAACAGAACATCAGACATGCTTGCAATTCTTTTATGGAGTTAATTCATTAACAACAATTAAATACTGAACTCCGAATTTTTGTCACGCAACACGTAGCGAGAAAAGCAGATTGAAGATGGAGAACACTTCTAACGTGGTGGCGACCGTGGAATTGGACACAGTCAAGGGGAAGGCGTCCTTAAGATGATCGGACTTGCTTTCGGAAGGAGATCACTAGCTGGCGGAGCCGTATTCATACTGTAGTCCACTCAAGCTAATGGACCGAAAAGCTTCGAATGCTCAGGTTCACGCCTCAATAGGCGAAAGACGAACTGATTATGTGACTAAGTGAGTCAATGAAATACAAAACAAATTAAGGGATCACAAAAAGAGAAGAAGAACTGATCCTAAAAAGACGGAAACATTGCCCTCAATGAAATCAAGAATTCGAACTTATTGAAACACACAAAATCGATCTTCCAGACAACTCTTGTAGCATTAATTGTTCGAAGATGAAACGTTCACGTCTAAAGCAAATTGAGCCAGTTATTAAAGAAAACAGAAATTTTTGTAAATTTAAATTAATCAATCAAAGTAATATATTAATCAAATTATTCATTAAAGTTATTAGTTGTTCCTGGTTGACAAATCATTCCTCCCCCCGCATCATTAGTGCTTTTTGATTTGGCAAGATGTTCTAGATTCCATCATAAAGCTCGACTTGAAACAAAAAATAGGATTATCGGGATCTTGGACACAAATTATATATTCTCCCTGACGTTCGAAATGGTTTACAAATTTCGTTTGAGCTCAACTGTAACTTTTTTATATGACCGATTCGTGAATGTGTGTGCAAACAACGAATTTCATGTTCGATGTTTTCCACGTTTTATATCGTACTACCCAAGATCTGAAAAAAAAAAAACCAAAAAACGCGAAAAAATGTTACGGTTAAAGACGCATACAATAAATATTTAATGATTCTTGCCGCGATTTGAAAGAAATTTAGTACTGTAGACTTCAAAGAACCGGGCCAAGGCCGAATTTTGGTGTATTTTAAAAAGCTGTGTAGTGGTTTTTTAGAATTTCCGAATCTGAATAATATCATAATTTTGTTATTATTTGATCCTAAAAAATTGCAGTTTCTAGTGTGATATCAAATAGTATCTAAATGGTATCTATATAATATCTAAACTTTCGTTCTGTCATAATTTCTATTCCTTGACGTTGCTTTGGAATAAAAGATAGTAAAAATACTGTATTTTTTACTTTCTAATTTGTCCCATTTTCTTTAGTTATGCACCATTTGTCGTAAATATACATATAAAAAACGTTAACATCTTTTTCAAATTAGATACGCGATTTTTGCAAATTCTAAAGATCATCTGTCGATCGGCTTTAAATCAAATTATATTTAAATTGAACTATCAATCAGATATTAATATTAAAATTTACAACTCAATAACCCGCTAAAAATCGAAACTTCATATGGTATGTTGGCGGTAACAGAATTTAACTATTATAAATTTTTGTATATTTATTTTCAAAGTTTCTTTTCTAATCAGAATTTTTCAAACTCAATTCTTCTTAACGTAGGACGATCTTTGTACATTACAATGTGCTCGGCGCAACCACTTCGCAAAACTCTTGAATGAGTTCTTTGACTTGTCATGAAACACGCATTCTCCGTTGTTCTGTCAACAAACTCTCATTTTTGGTAATCGTGTGCTTTCATGTATGCTGAAGATCCGTTATGCGTTCAAATGTTGCCTTACAAGTTTTAAGCAATCGTTCGCAAACACACACACACACACACACACCTGTTTCATGCACTTCATGACCCTCCCTGTTCCTTTTGTAGGCGGTGGTCTACGCTCAGCAGATTTTATTTGGACATCCTTTCACTTCACAAGAATTCAGACAGCACCGTTTGAACAACCGAGTGCAAAAACGCAAATTTCGGCCCAACTTCAGCCCATTATGTTAATTTTAATTGATTGTCAAGCAAGTGACACGCTTTGAATCGGTTACAATTGCTTTGATTCTCGAGTCATTCATTGTATTCTCCGCTTTTACATCATTCCAGATCGCGCTCACCCGAATCTCATGGTATACAACTAACATGAACATCTGTGTTCTACTGCTTATATCTATCGTTACCGCCTTTCAAGATAAATACTTGAATCAGCTTATTTATAAATTTATCTATAGTAATGAGCACCTATGTAAGTTTATGTGATGATGTTTTTTCGAAAAGCAAAGATATTCTAGGTGGAGATCCTTTCATAGAAGCAAATTGGCTTCTAGCAATGAACGAGTGCAACATTGAATGCGAACCAACCGAATATATTTGCTTAGTCAGCACTTCACAGTCTGATGTGCAAAAATGTAGAAAACGTAAGTGTAGTAGTATGAAAACAATATTCGTCATTCCACCACGATTTCCGAGAATGCAAATAATGTTTTTTTTAATGAAACTTTTAATACCCCTCGGCACTCGGGAAGTCGAGCATTTAAAAACATCCGATCGTTTCTGAAAAATAGTCAAATTTGACGCATTTAAGGCTGATTTTATAATAAATAGTGCCTTGAAAAAAAGCATTGAAAAAAAAGTGAATTAGCAACCAATTTTTGAACACCTGGTTCTTGATTACTTTATGAGACCCTACCAAATAATTATAGTCACATCGGCTTGTACGGCCGGAATTCGAAAATATCTCGGATGGTCCATGAAGAATGAAAGTATTCAACCATCAACTACAACTTCAACACAAAGCCCACCGACCAGGCTTTTTGCGACAACTCCTGCTGCGACCATTAGTCCTCCTGCTGAACAGTAATTAAATTTGTACAACAAAGAGATCGTTGAAATCATTTATTATAGAAAACAATTTGGTTCAAATACTCAATTGGGAAGAAACTCATTTTATATTAAAGATCTGGAACCAATCGAAAATGTGAATTTCATTGATGACCGATATGATGAAGATGAGAGGTATTTAAGGGGTTTGACACAAATATTGTCAAAAATCTTAATGAGTTTGGGGGCGAGATTATTAATTGATCAATATCGTGCAATACTTTTTTGCAGAGATTCGAAGCCATCGTTCGTTGTTGAACCACCAGCATTTAGCCCGAAAACCTTTTATACAAAGTTACATTATAAAAATGTGCTCAACATAAAGCCAATAAAAATTATGAAGGTGAAACCCTACAGCCCACGCCCAAAAATGGGCTTCACTACTACGTCAGTCCCAGTGCTGAATCGATTTGGTAAATACATTATTTCCAGAATTTTTGAAATAAATCGATTTCAGAAAATGCTCAAGAACTTTTCGAGAAGATGGAGCTCGAACAAAAAATGGCGGCAAAGCTTGCCGAAGAAAAAACGTCTCAAAAATTTGAAAGAGTTCCGATTGATGACGAACCGGAATTTAACGAAGGGTCAGCTGTGATCGGATCAAGAATCGAAGTAAAAAAGTTGTTTTTGGTAATTAAAAATCACTGTGAGTCTTATAGATCATCCCGCCGTTCCCACCACTCGATCCGCCGCATTGGGACGAGCAAACATCTGGGAAAGCCATTGAAAAAGGTTGAAAACACATCCAATTTCTGAATCCATCAATCAATCCGGCAAAAAGAAACTAAGCGGTTTTACATTTGAAAATCTTTCCACCCACGCGGCTAAAATAAAAATGCAAAATTATGTATATTTGGTGCATGTTTTATGCTGATTCAATTCCGTTGTAGATTACATTCGCGATTACAACAAAAAATGCTGCGAATGGGCAATTCAAGGATTATGTGACAGCTATTGGCAAAAAGTTCGACAAATTTGCGCAAAAAGTTGTAGGTCAGTCGTTTGCGAAGGTGAGAATGAATTTTGATGGAAAACGTGTAGAATTCATTGTTTTCAGATGTTGAAGGTGTCAAATCATGCTATCGTTTAATTGATGTTGATATTGAAGAATGTTATCAATCCATTCGATCAAATCATTTCCTCAGTCTTCCAACATATGAAAAGAAAGACCAATCGCCTTATGCAAATTCTCATCATCCGCTGAAGAAAACCAAGTCAAAGAAATCGAAAAGAAGGCGAACAAAAAAGAAATTGCTAAAATAATTTATTTTTTAAAACTAAATTATTTCAAATAACTATTTGCACTTTGTATTCACCTCTTAAACATTCCTTTCTCACCAATTGTCGACGAATTCACGTTTTAAATGGTTATGTTTTTATCATCCGATATTTTCATCTGATAAGATTCATAAAATCAAACCATTATTATTGAATGCCCGTCCGTTAATTGTAACAAAAAGCAGTCAAATTGTTCACTTTCACTCTCATGAAAAAAAAGCGAAATTCCGTGACCGCTTTCTTATCTCCATTTTGAAAAATACCCAATCCATCTCAGAATAAATTTCTATTGTGTTGTGTCTCTACACCAAAACGGGAATATTCAATGGAAAATATCTATTCGACTCATATTTCTAATTATTTCTGAAAAATTGTAGTTAGAATGGTCACGAGATAATTCGAGAGTAAAGACTTCAAGTGTACCGTGTGAAAACCAATCGTAAGCCGATTTCAACTTTAGCTCTTTTTTTTTCTCAAAAATTCAACACGAGTATTTGTTTATGAATCAAAATTTATCGGCTCGTTTATCCAGATGTCATTTATTCTCAGAATCTCATTCATTAAACAATTTAATGTCAATGTTTAAAATAAAAGAATGAGTCGAGCACGAGGGGCACTCAACAATGTTTTACACCGGTCCCTTTCTGCGGTTCCCAATCAAATGCTCTTGCGTCTCAATTCTTCCTTCTTCTTCATCTTTTCAACTCCATTAATCAACAACTTTGAGTGATCGCGGTTGTCTCGTCTCTTGCTTCGAATAACACACTTGCCGACAAAACAACGCAGCAGATCTGACAGTTCCTTGACCACCGTTTTTTTCATTGACACATTTGCCAAACAATATATGTTGGGCATGCTCGCAGCCAAAGCTCGTTTTGATCGAAATATTTTTTTAGAGATGCCTAGTATTGAACCAATCTATGAAACTTCCGCTTCCTATTTTATACATTTATGACGCAAAGTGAGTTTTCAGTTACATATGTATGTATTTTAAAAAAAGAACTCCCCTAAATTGAGAAAAAAGTGAAAGTCGCGAGGGAAAAAGGTTGAATGTAGATCTTGAAAAAAAAGAATAAAGAAAATTTCGGTTCGTCAAATAAAAATTTCGTTTTAATGTTTTAATATCTAGCAAAAAACTAAATAATTTCAAAAGTTTTCAAATTTATTCAAATTTGGTTAAAAGTTTAGGAATTGCTTAAATTTATTCCTTATTCAAACATTTCTCTCGAGATTCTCACCCCACAAAATTTATTATTATTGAAAGTTTCATTAAATTCCAAAGCGTGCGGGATGTATGAATTTTCTGCTCTTTTTAAATTCTGCCCGAATCAAATATGTCCCTATATGGATATGGAGCAGCATGCAATATTTAAAAAATACATAGAGCATAATGGTGCTTGAAAATCAAAAGTGTTCATTGGGAAGCTTCTAAGCACTTCTAATATATTTATTGTTTTATATTTGATGATCACATTGTTTAACACAATTTTTAATAATTTATTCTTCCAATTTTTTAGGAACAGGATATTTTATTAAGGACCACCAAACTAAGAAAAGCCTTCATCCATGCATTTTTCATTTCTCTATTTTTTCTTGGACCAGTTGAGAAGTTTTCCTTCCTCATCCTTTGTTCGTCCTGTCGGCACACCATCATCCATTGATAGCATGTTTGTATGAATTCCCTATGAACGGGCCACACTTCTTTTTATAAAAAAAGGCGAGACCATTTCCTTTAAATAATGATGACTATACTACGAATAAGAAAATGAAATAAATGAGATTCATGGAGTAACCGCGCCTCCCAGAAAATAATCTGTGCATAAATTTACTTTTGAATATACGTTTTTTGATTCACGAGCCTACCAGATATGGTTAATCTTCAATATAAATTTTATGCATTTTACTAGTAAAACAGATTGCGACTACAATACGCGTGGCGTGTAAAATACAGGTTTTCAAAGTGCTTCATTACAACATTTTGTTTCAATTTTTGCGCGTTTTCAATTTATTTTACTAATCCTTTTTACTCTTTTCCCGGCCTCATTTCAAAACATCTGGTTTCATCCAGTAGTTTTTTAAAATATGTGACGAGCGTTAAAAACGGTCGATTCGCACATAAAAGAACACCTACCAATAAAAATCGGCATCGGAATTTCACGAATAACACGCTCTGTGATGCTTCACATTTTATGGCATATATTAGGCAATTAGGCGTGATCGTGTAGGTTTTCGGTTTTTTTTGGTTACCTGCATGGTTGTTTTCCTTCTTATTGTAACTAATTTTGGAGAAAAGCCAAGCAACATTTAATTTTAATCTGCAAAATGAAATATTCATTTTTTGGGTTCCCATGAAACTTCGTCTAGAGGTGGACCTTGAACGTGCGACCTAGAAAACGAGAACTAATTAGTTCTTCTTTGTTGCTGGGAAAATTTGAGCTCTTTCATGTGTTATATTTTTTACTAAATGTTTGACATATTGGAAAGCTGGAAAAAACCAGAAGGCATGCGATTCAGCCCAATGAAAAATTCTATAACAATTTTACATTTATTGCATGTTATGGTGGTTGTTGTCTTTTTTTCGGCGGTCAACCTTTATTTTTAATTCCAAGCTCCTGTTTTCATGAAGAGAGGATTACTAAGCATATAACTAGGCTTTCAAAAAGTTAAGAAACAATTCCGTCTCCGGTCATTATTCTTGAATATTTGCTTTTCGTTATTCAAGACTTTATCCATTCGAGTTGTTTGGCAATTTCCTTGAAAATACTTGATGGCCTTTCGACATGATATCATTTAGTTTCTACAAAGGGAAAGCGATGACTACAAACAATGAGGTCCTCTTATTTATTTTTGCGAGCGGCCGGTGTTGTAAGTGAGCTGACTGTGTATTCAGTGTTCGTCAAGACACGATATTATATCGTCAATCAACAAAACGTTTACTATCAATTTTCCCGCGTCGTTTGAACGTCTTCTAATGAGATTCAACGAATAAATTATTACACTCTTAAACGAAGGTACATAATCGTTTTCTCGCAAGATCTTTTACATTTCTGGTAGACAATGTGAGAACAAAACTTGTGTTATTTGCGAAACCTGATCTCATTCTCTTCCGTATTGCCAGATCCCTCCTTCCCACAAATGGATGAGGAGAGGAAATGACAATAAGCTCTCGACACTATTGTACTCTAAAATACCGTTTTGTTCTATTCGCAGAGTTCGCGTCATGACTCAATACATAACGAATTAGCAATATAGCCGACGTCTGGCTACTGCTTTACTCTGGTAGATATATCCATGCTATCGTAATGGTCTCGCGCGGATTAACTGATTATTTTGCATATATTGATGATTTTTTTTTTTAATTTCAACGATGTTGGAAATGAAATGCAAACTCATAATATGAAAATTTCAATAAGCGTTCATTCGTGGCGAGATCATGGAGAAAAACGCTCCCTGTAAATCTTCCCAATTACAACAATCGCCGAACACCGAATATAGTTCTTGTTTCGAGAGTTTTGAAAAACGTTTCACTTTTAGAACTTACGTTTCTAAGTGGTTATGATTTTCGATCACGCATTTTTCTGAGAGGAACTTCAATTGACTTTTATGTTCATATGCACGTTTTCAATTTTTGTTGTTTCAATTTTTTTGAATTCGGTTACATAAAATGTTGCGCATAGCGGAGATAAGCTCACTATTGAGTCAATTGTTTGATTTTAATCACAAAAAATACACAAAGGTTTTTCTTGTGGAAGTCTTTGATCTTCTTGAGCGGAGAGTAAATTTGAAACCCACAAGTGAACAGTCTTCAAAGTGAAGTAAAAAATATTTATTTTTCATACTCTTGATATCATCATTATTTGTGTCGAAAAAACCAAAACAACGTTCTCAGTTCTAGTCGGTAGCAAATCAAAGTCACAAAACTTCAAATTTCCTTTTCCCCCGTTTTACATTTATAATAGTTCCACTATTGAAATTTGCTAGGCTTAATACTACTCCTTGTCAGGATAGCAGAAAACAAAAGATGGTCCATTTGTTATATGTCATCGTTTTTCGGCTTTTAAATTAAATTTTTTGGAGGAAGAATGTGATGGATATGTGTACATGGTAAAACCAATTGGTTTGCTAGCAAAGGAAATGAATGACCTTTACAAATGGTTTGTTCTCAAGCCCGCGCCTAAGATTCACTTTGTTCTTTCTTTCAATCTCTGACCAACCAGTGAGGTTCCATCTGATTTGCCTCACCGAAAATTCTTCACCCGATTTTTGCTTCTTGAACAATTTCGCTTGATACAATCTTTTGACTTTCCTCATTATACGTAACACTTTTTTTTCTTAACAGGCGACTTTTTGATGGTAATGAATGCTACAGGGTAGCAGATTTTCGAGAATACCAATGGATAAGGTAATACTAAAATTATCAGCATTTCTCATATATTATTCAAAATTCTCAGGATTACGAAAGTGATACCGAAACACCAAGCCGCTGCACCAGGCAGGGAGTGCTGCTCCGAATTATTGTGAGCGCTGCTGCAATCATTACAGTATTGCTGATTATCATTGCCATTGTTGCTATCTTGACGCAAAAACGTGACTTTTACAGATAAGTGGCATCATTTAAAACGACTATTTTCAGCTGTTGACTTATATTCATCAGCCGAAAACCTCAGTTTGGCTGAAAGCCATCAACAACCGTTTCATCGATTGAAACCTTCCTATCGCCGATTCACGTTCGACCAATTGTTTTCTGGGAAATTATTCCTGAAGGACAGCTATGAGTACAACTGGCTGCCTGATGGTTCATTGCTTAGAAAGGAGGACGAGTTTCTCGGGGTTAGTGACATATAAAGATACTGCAATTTAATTGCCCGCGTCATTTTTCAAATCACAGTTATCAATCATTCTCGAGTTGAAGGTTTAAAGAACAGTTTGAAATTCGTGAATCAAATTCACGTGAATTTATTCATCAAGAATTGCCCATTTTTCATCTTTGATTGAGAAGTCAAGCAGAATTTTTAATTAAAACCAATCCTAGTGAGCAGAGACAAATGTTTTTTGGGGATTGACTCCAAAGATTTATGACCATGTCATCTGCTATATATCCATTACTTTAAACCAAATGAATGTGCGGTTTTCGAATTGGGGGATGAGAATAGTACGAACATGTTTAGAAGTCAATTTTCAGTGGCTGTTTCAGACCAACGAAAATGTGCTAAGATACATGCCAGACACGTTTGAAGAAACTGTCTTCCTTGATGACTCCGAATATATGCAAACATTGTCCTCTGACTTGAAATATGCTTATCGGACGAAATTAGTTAGACAGGTTTTATACTCTGAGCGAAATCTAAATAATTTATCAGGTTAAGGTTTTCCGACACTCCATGGAGCGGGTATTCGAAATAGTTCAAATTCTTAATGGAACCGTTAGCAAGTATAAACCAACTGATTATTTTTGGTTTAACGGAATTTCAGGAAATTTTTCCGTGTTGGACCTGTGGAAAACGCAACCCTTCAAGCATTCTATTGGAACCCTAACCCAGATAGCCACGACTTTGTTTACATTCATAATTACAATGTTTACTACCAATTGGACCCTGCTAAACCAGAAAATGCAATTCAACTTACTCATGATGGCGAATACTATTTCCGTTATGGATCAACGGATTGGCTATATGAAGGTAAATGACCAATTTTGGCACATAAGAAAAATTGTTATAACTTTTCAGAAGAAATTTTTGACAATAGTGACGCATTGTGGTGGTCACCATCGGGAAGATATGTTTCCTATTTGAGGTGTATAGACATTTCAATAAACCCAAATAATGGCGTATTCCAGATTTGACGATCGAAATGTTAATAAGATTTTCTTGCAAACCTACACAGCTAATGATCCCTACGTTGAGTAATATTTATAAATCATTCGAAATTACAATGATTTTGCCTAGGTATTTCGAGCTACCCTACCCAAAGGCTGGTGTTGTGCAAAATACGGTTGTCGCTCAATTCATATGGGATCGTCAAAACAACAAAATTGTTGAAGCAATTGCTCCAGAAGAGCTTCGCTCACTCAACGAGTATTATCGACAACACAAGTTTTTAATTTGCAAAAAAATATTTGAAGAAGCTACTACATTGTTTCAAATACTTGGATGAAAATGCCGAATGGGCTATCTGACTTGGGAGCTGAGCGTTTGATCACAGTGTGGACTAACCGCGAACAGAATAAGGTCTTCTATACGCTTTGCAGCGAGATCGATTGCATCATGGTTGAGGAAAATATGAGATCGTATGTCGAATCGAAATTTTGCAGACATTGAGCCAATCGTTTTCCATAAATGGTAGGGAAATGTGGGCAGAGCCGCGTGAAATTGGAAGTATTTTCCCAACCAAAACCGGATTCTTCACAATTCTGCCACATTCATTTAAAAACAATATTTATAACCATATTGCGCATGTAGAGCTTGAGGTATACTGTTAAAATCATGCATGTAGAAAATTAATATTTCCAGACGAACGGAATTGGAAAAATCACAAAATGGATTGGAGAAGATTACGATGTCATGTCAATTTTGGGATATTATACTAACCGTGATATATTGACTTATAATGCTTATGGAAATGGCGTTGGAGAAAACGGAATTTATAAAGTTCCAAAGGCTGCCAACACTCACATCGAGGTGAGTTGAAAAATTGTAACAATCTCTAGAAACTGTAGCTGTACAGTTTTTGTTTGATATTATTGTTTCATAATGTCTACCCTGTCACGAGCAGGTTGGAGTACATCGTGATAAAGCAGCGGGTATTGAAAATTCGATACGAGTAGAGATTTAAAACAATTGAATTGATAAAATGCACATCAAAATATATATTTTAATGCACGCAGAATGTTTCTATATTGAATATTTGATATTTCTAACGTTGAAAAAAATTCAGGAAATAACGTCAAAAATGAATGCTCTAATCGAGGGATGCGATCATGGAACATATACAGTTGATCCAACTGGCCGTCGAGCCGCACTTCTTTGTCATCAACCATTCGAAAATACGAAATTCGTTTTGATGAATGTCGACAAACCGCGTCAACACAAAATTTTGGATGGGGATGATGACGCTCATTTGCCTTTTGATAAACCACAATTGGAATACGGTACAATCAATTTACCGTCAGGTGTGGGTGAGTGACAATTATAGAATTTCTGTAGTTATTCAGTTGAAAAGTTTTAGAAGCTCACTACATGATAATGAAGCCTCCAAGAGTAGAAGAAGGATCCAAACTGCCATTAATTTTGGACTTGTAGGAACATGTGCAAATTGAACATATTCAACGTTTTTTTCTTCAGGTATGGTGGCCCGAATAGCAAGAAAGTTCGAAAATCGACTCCATCACCCCATTTCATTCAAATATGCTCTCAGTATGAAGTTGTTGTGGTGAACATTGATGTTCGTGGGACAGCCGGAAGAGGTTTGCACATGTTCCAGCGAAAAAGTAAAAATCGGATTTTACAGGATGGAACGTGAAAGAGCCAGTTTATAAGAATTTGGGACCGCCCGAAGCTCGGGATACCCTTGATGCCATACATCATCTCGCCAAAAAATACCCATTTATTGATGAGAACAATATCGCCGTAACGGGGTGGTCTTACGGTGGATTTCTCTCGTCTCAAGTGGCTATTAAAGACCAAGGAGATAGTATTAAATGCGCTATATCTATTGCCCCAGTGACCGACTTTAAGTATTACGGTAACAATTTTTTTTTATATTACTGACCCCGTTACTTTTAATTTTAGATACGGCATATACCGAACGCTACATGGGAATGCCTGCCAAAAATGTGCAAGGATACGAAGTAAACACTCATTGTAGTTATTGTAATCAACATACATTTTCAGAAAACCAACCTGATTCCAAATGCGAGAAATATGACTCATGTCAGATATTTCTTGGCGCACGGTGAAAAGGATGACAACGTACATTACCAGAATAGTGCTCGATGGTCCGAAGCGTTGCAATATGAAAATATTCATTTTACGCAAGTGGTAATTGGAAATATTTGATTGTGAGAATTGAAGAAAAAAATGTTAAGGTTTACGCAAATGAGGCGCATAATCTACAAGGAAAGGTCCAGCATTTATATTCTGAAATTCAGCATTTTTTAACCGACGTTTGCTTTAAAAGTATTAATTATAATAATGATTAACTTGCTAGCTTATTTAAATTGTAATAATTATATATAATCTATACCCAGCAACTACAGGGTTTAGGTAGATGGCGAAATGTGTCAAAAGAGTAATGTGGCAGCCAATATTAAATGTTTTAATTCAAGGCACATAACAGAAAATCTACCAAAGCCTTGAAGTTTTAAAATGCCAATTACGCGCTTTTTAAAAAATTGAAAAAAATGTCATTCCTGAATTATATGGCATGTTATAAACAGAACGGTGAGTTCACATATTTTAGTACGTGGTTTTATAAAAACTATTTATTATGGCTTTTAGTGTGCTTTTAATAAAGTGATTGAAACATACGTTTTATTTACAGAATTGGGAGCAATTCATGAACTTTAATTTTAAGTAATAATACTGGAAAATACAACATATTACATTCATTTGGATTTTTTCTTTATTCTTTGAATGCAATTGTAACGATGATAATTTTGATTGCGCACGAACAATATAAACTTTTTGTTGCATTAAGTTTGCCTTTACATTTATCTATTAACAATGAAAATAACATTGTTCATCACACAGCATCTTCTATTAAAAATGAAACAAATATCAATGCTATAGACTTCTAAGCTATCTTTTTACAATATCCAATTTGAAATTCGAAAAATCGCAGAATTCAAAAATAACTTGGTTCTTGCTTATACATTTTGTATTTATTGTCGCAGTCCTTAACGTCGACAATATCACATCATTTTTTTCAACTTTTAATTGGAATTATCATTTTCCCAAATAATCCCATGTTTATTTTTTCTGACGAAATATAGCCAATAGGAATTATTGTAAACGTTAAGAATTGTAATTAGGAAATGAGCTCGTAAGGATAACTATCCCTGAGCTTATATGTACCAATGTGTTTTTGGATATGTTCATTTGTTTGGCAATTTTAAATTTTTCTGAGCTGTATTTTTTATTTGCATCTACTTAAAGAAGAGTGTTTGTCATTAATATCATTTGTGCTAGCAAAATTGATTTAAAAAAGGTTCTTTGCATTGTTTGATTATGCAAGAGTTTCACGAATCCAAGTCTTAAAACCAAGTAATTTGTTATTCTATTTGTTATAGAAATTGTAAAAAAAATTATATTTGTTGTTTGTTGGAAGTATATTTGTAGACGGAGCATTGGACATTTTTTCTTAAATTCAACTCATAAAAATTCAAGTGCACCCACATTTTTGGAAAAATTTATTGAAAGTCTTTTTTTTTAATTAAAAGAAAACCACCACTTACTCAATAGTAAAAAATTAAAAACCTACTGGTTTTTATTGGTATTATTTGAGAAGAATTTTTTGAAACAATGAACTATTGAATAAATCCGATATATCGCAACACATTGGTGTTCGACAATCGTGATTTTTACAAGATTCCTCAAAACTTCTCAAAATATCAATACAACTTGAATTGACTATTGGCAATGATAATATCCTTTTTCCCGGTTTTTTTTTTAAATTATATTGTCGGAGTCAAACGACTTGACGAAGTTTAAAAAACTATTGGCTTTGTGCCAATGCGTCTCGAGGCAGCCAGAAGTACGCAAGACTGCGTACATTATAGCGTACGCGCATTTAATATTCAGTCAACGATAAATTTAAATCAATACTGATTTCCCGAATTTGAAGACCCCGAATCCATTCAGTCGTTTGACACCGACAATAAAGTCTAATAAATTCATTTTTTTTTGCATTTTTGCATCTTTTATTAAAACCAAAAATTTCAATTGTTTTCTGAAATTTATTTGAATTTCGGTACCCCGCAAATTAAGAAAATTTGCGAGCGTACGCATCTGTGACGCGAGAAGCTTCATCATTCCATTCGCTCGTTGATGGTTTCAGCACGATTCGCCGGATATGAAAGACGCAAACGTCACTAAACCTTCATTCTGACGCGTTTTCATTGTTTTTCTTTATTGCGGCTCGCCGATTTTTAATTTACCGTAACCCCCAATTATGATGCTTTTATGGAAAACACACCAACCACAAAATAGGCTTGTGAAAACAGAAGAACATATGCCGTATACGAGGTCAGTCCTCTGAAAAGCTATCCCCAATATTAACCTTTCCATTGATCGTGTTTATTATCAACTCTCCGTATATATATAATTAGCACTCCTCTAATTCACGATTAATCGTTTGAAGTTGCAATAGACAACAACAATTTTTTTGGCCCAAAATCTGATCATTACAAATATTAAAAATCGATGAAGTTTATAAATGAGTTGTTCAAAATTAAATCTTTCAATTAATTTCACATCAACGTAAAATCGTTGCGAAAATTTTTTTGCATAACTTTCTAATCAGGGACTATTATGTTTTTGTGGTACACCATATCCTTGAGTCACTTGCAATGACTCATTTCTTGGTAGATAGCTTCCGTCCTCAATTTTTGACAGTCTTGAAAACCAATCATAAATGTTTTGCTTCGCTCTTTACACCAACTGCATTAAATCATCTTCTCGTGTTTTCCTTGAACCCGCAGACCCATTCAAGCTTCCATTATATTTATATTTGCATCCGAGCTTTTTTCCATTATCGGTGCTACAACTAAATTCTGTTATTTTTTCGTGGAGAAAACAAATAACTACTTTGAACCAATTCAAAATTGCAGACCGTTATCAAAAAAAAAAGCGAATGTAGTGCAGATACAAAAATGATGAAGAATAAGTACGGTCATAAAATTTAAATTAGGTCCTCATTGCCAGTTCCATTCATTGCCCCCCCCCCCACTTACTTATTGCTCGTCGTTGCATTCGTTTCTTTTCATGTTTATCGATTATTCAAATTTTTGTTCAAGCTGTCATAAACCTTCACAATGCCTGGAAAAAATAACTTAACGCCAACGGAGTGAGTTTTTTAAATAAAAATTTTAGTTTTTTAGCTTTGAGTAGTCTAGATTTCAATGATAATCTAACTTAAATGTAAATGTGAATAGGATTTGGAATGAATAGCCACCCATTGAACGAAAAAATGAATGACACCAGTCCAAAACTAAATCCGATTCAGTACATTGACACAGTCGATTACAACAAAATATTTTAAATGATTTCAAAAAATTGCCTGTTACGATTTATTTAATAAAACTGGGCTTATCTCAGCGACAAACCCCCTTATCGGTTTTCAATATAAATGTAAGCGTGTTTTTTCGTGTCCATCTTCAACCGACATTTGCCCGAACAATTTCATTCATTTTTTAACCAAAATTTCATTTGTTCACACCATAATATGTTTGTACTAGAACGCCTGAGAAAAAAAAAAAAGAATAATAGGGTTTGTGAAATTCATGTTAATTCAGCATTCGTGGCACCGCTTATCATTTATTTTCTAGATGGTATTTCTTGCAAACATATACTAACTGAGTATTTTCTAGCTAATTTCGTTTTTTATCGAACTACACGTTCTGTTGCAAAAAGCCAATATTTTATTATTTTTTTCCGACTCCCAAGAAGAAATCAATTATCGCAGCTTTTTTTAAACCAAAAAGTATGTTGTGTAAAAAGCTATTATCAGAAAGACGAAAATACAATTTGACCTTTTTTCTTATTTTTTTTAATTAAAACTGACATTTTGTTGAAATATGACCAACTTCGGGTTTAGACGACTCAATGATTTTATAAAAACAAGCTTTTCATTTTAATGGGTCCTTTTAAAATAGTATATGGTCAAAAAGCAGTTTGAAATGTTAGGCTTAAAATGTTCAAATTTTATTTCTTGCAGATTCAGTTTGGCTCACACTGTTTTGAATACTAGTGATGAGCAGTTCGAGCGCGCGATGAGTCAATGTACAGATTTCTATCAAATTTTTTTGTAATTACTAGTTCTACTTGCAGATGAGCGAGATGACGCTAATCCTTCAGAAGATGCAGATGCGGAGGTGAGAAATTTGGAACTACCGCAGAACTTTATACTTCCTCATCCTACGAACGAGCACAATGAAGAACGTCGACTTGTGCAAGAAATTCATGGGGAATCTTGCGACATTGAGGTTATTACGCTTGATGAAGATTCAGATGATTCAAATTCGAGCCAACCGCTTCAGTCGGGCGGTGTGTGTATTCAAAATCCTATTAACCGCAAAGATTCCATCGACAACGCTACTAAGCTCATTCAAATGAGCCGCCAACCGCATATTGCCCCGCCTTTTGGCGCAGCTCCGCCTACTCGTTGCCATGATTCCTTTCAGAACAACCGAATGTCTCAACAGCAATCGTCGGTCGATGGCGAAGCTCACAGCGCCAGCAAACCCCAACTCCTTTTACATCAAAAACAAATCATGCAGACGACGAATGGAATGCCTAATCATGTGACAATGCAGCAGCGCGTTGTTTCACAGCAACCGGCTCAACAAGCTCCACAGCAACCACAGTGGTATGAGCGCAATCCGTATCAGCAGGAGCGACGTTTCCCTTACCAACCGCGCCAGCCGCCGGCCAACGTGCACCCGCCACGCCCCTTTCACGTTTCAATGGAGCCTCATGATCATTTGCTCAATCCGCTGACAAATCACAATTATTTGATGAATTTGTCGAGCGCTCAGAATGTTCAAACAAATCATCATCGCCAAGCAGCTCAACCAGCTAGGCAAATGCCATTCTATGGAAGACATAATGACCCAAAGCAACAACGAGCTGTGCCATCACCGCAGCAGAAGTTTTTTCGTGCCTCCCAGCAGCGACAGCAGTTTTTTCGTGCCCAACCAGAAGGACAGCGTCCAGACACTCAGCGAGAAACCATTCGCTGTGCCGAACAATCCGAACTGCGTGTGCAGCGCCAGCGTGAGCAGGAGATGCATATGCTCAATGGACAAACTGGAGCAATGCATATGCGGAGCGGACCGCAAATGGGAATGCATCTGCAGTATCAACAGCAAACGATCGCACAACAGCAATTCCAGACAAATGGAAATTATGAGGCATTCGGTCAGTACCAGCCAAATATACGGAACCTGCCAAATGGTCAGTTCGAATCAAATGCTGAGTACCAGCCAAGTACCCAGTACCAGCTCCAACTCCATCAGCAACACCAGCAGCCATACGCCTATCACCAGCCGATCGTCCAACCGCACCACCAAACGGAAAACGTACACCAAGAAGGCCAAGCTTGGTACCGACATCAACAATTCTTAAAAACCCTGCCGTACGAACACCAGCATCGTCAACAAGATGGCAACCTCGGCAGTTTCGACCCAATTGTGAATTCTCTTCGCGTCGTGCGCTACGTCGAGGTGTTTCCGGAATATGTATTTGAGCCCGATGAGAAATCGCCGAAGCTCATGAGACCGCCACAAGTGCCCCAGCAATTGATGACCAGGGTAAACCGTCCAACATACATTTATATTCCACCGACGATAAGCAACTTTATTCGTTTTGAGTTCGAGGAGGCCAAAACGCTTACCGGCGTCGATTTGAAGAAGGTTCGCAAAATCAAGTTGGTTCATCGTCCGTCTCAATCTGATGGAACTCGTCGCTTTGGATCCTATCGTGCTGACATTCCAGGTGCGTCACTTTTTTTCTATCAAGAAAGTGTATGACGGTATTATTTTCAGTTGGGCTTTGAAAAGCCCACAAAATGAAGTAAAATTTAATTTATAAGATATATTCAAATTAATATTAATTGAACCGGGTTTTCTTTAAAAAGTAGAGTAAAAAATGTGAATGAATTCAATAATATTAGGGTGTGAAGTTATTTTTGAAAAACTGACGAAAAAGACTAGTAGATGTAGGTGTTTTTGATTGCTATATTAATAATCTTCTCGTTCTCTACATAAAAAAAATGATTATTGCATTTTCACGTCAGTTTTTAATGGTTGCTGTTAATTCATGTTGCTCGGCTTACTTACTTTTTATTAACAACATATTAACAACTTTAAGCCCCATGTTTTGTCTAACGAATTTTATGTTGAATTTGTGAACGTCTGGAATTAAATGCGTCATTATTACAGTGCGCACAAGAATTATCGGACACATTTTTTGAAAGGAAATTACTAAAATAGCAAACACTCTGATTAGTCTCATGAAACGGAAATTGATAATGATAAGTACAGGATAAACAAAAATATTGACGCGCAATTATCGGAAATTACAATTTTATGTCGCAATCGAGTTTTGATTGAAAAATCTTATACCCGCGTACATATTTCCAAAATCCGATGAGAACCTATTACGCGTATGAGGGGCATTCAAAAGAATTGCAGCTTCTGGGACACCAATCGCTTCAAGCTAATCTTGGCTTATCGTTGTACCAAAAAATATATATGATCGAAAGAGTGGATTAGGAGAACAATAGGCGCTATTCAATGTGACATATTGAATTTCAAAACATATATTATGCCCGCAAAAACGGGAAATTAAAGATTAATCAAACTAGCAAAAAAATTTTTTTCCACTTTTATCTTAACCTTTCAGCATTTTGTAAAATCACTTTTGCGTATGGTAATTGAACGTGAGGGATAGTTGGTATCCGCCGACTACTCTGAGCTGGTAGATTTACGGGCATATTTTTTCAACTTGCCACACGCGAATGCTCATTTTGCTGTTAAAATGTTGTATTTTTCTTGGTATAATTGGGTATATCATAAAATTTATAGCTGTATTTCAATTACAGCAAAAAAGAAATAAGACCTTGACTTTGAAATCACGGTTGCGTTTAGGCGTGACTGTAAATCTGACCGCCAATGGAAACCAACGAAAGCAAATTAGAATAAAAATTAATAACTGATTGAATAAAACGAGCTTAATTTCTTTTCTTGATAGGAAAATCAACAACTGCATTAACGATTCAATTCGAATCAAGATAATATCAATTGCTAAATGAAGCTGATGAAATATTATAAATGTTATCTGCTTTTTTTTTAAACTATCGCTTTCATCTGTTTTTGTGTTGTCGTTTATTCCGTGAATAGAACAAATTTTCAATGCTTGAACAGACTACAACTACTCTGGATAAATGTTCTCTTCAACTGGATTTTTCAATGAAAAAATTACTTAATTTTTGAGTTTTTTAATAATTATTTTTTTATAAGAAAGAAAATTATCTTCTTTCAAATAACTGAAAATAGGGAAAACTAATTTAAGTTGTCCAAGCATATTTTAAGTGCGACAAAACGTTTGCATAATTTTTGTCATTGTCATTTTAATAAGTTATATTTGTTTGGCGTTTATTAACTGTTTATGTGTCGAATAAACTGCATGCTAACAAATGTGTTTCAGGTTTCGCTACAAAAAAACTTTATAAGAGATGCTTTTTTCAATGGACAATTATTGTGCGGTGGAAATAGGGTTATTCTTCACTAATGACATCATCGGACGTTTTGTCTACTCGTGTTATATTACCAAATGGGTTTCTCTCTGTTTATTTTTTTGGCTGAGTGTTTTTCGACATAATCCATTTCAAAGCGGATGTTGCATTTTCTCTTGTATATAGATTAATAGGTTATTCAATGATCGCTTTGACAGCACTAAGCCCTTTTATGAAAAAAAAAAAAACAATACTGCAGAGCATCAGCAAAAATAAAACGAATTCGGTAAAACAACCAGTCTATGAATTTTTTAGTTGATTGCCGTCTAAAAAAAATGAAGTCTGAATTTTGAATAGGCAGTTGAAATTCATCGTAGGATAACACAGAATAAATGAACAGACCATTACACTGTGCCACTTCGATAATAGTCTGCAACCGAAAATAGTCGCTCAGAAGATGTGCAGAATTCCTTTCCATCACAAAACTTCGAAATAATTTTTAAAACATTTTTACTGCAAATTACTGGAGAATAGGTGAAATTAGGCTTCGGTAATTAAAAGATTTTTTCATTTTTTTTTGTTAATGCTTTTAAGATTTCGGCACCAATTTTTAAGCTTAAGCGGGGTTGCTAATTGACATCCATTTTCGGGTTTTTTGATCCATTAGTTATACGTTCCAAAAATGCGATTAGATTTTCGACCAAATTTGTTTCTTAATTTGCTTATTTCAAGATTTGCACATTATTTTCGTTCGATCCTAGCCTAATTCACTTCAATTAACCAGGGTTATTCAACAATAAAAAACTATTTCAAGGGATTACTTTCAAACAGTTGCAGTGATTCCCCATAAAAATTGAAAATTAGAGTCTAGACATCTGGAGTGTTCATAATTAGAAATTGTTTTGTAAATTTTGTGGTACTCTGAATATTGAATGAATTTTTTTTGTCCGCGAGATATTTAAATTTCAATTACCATTCAATTGAATCACGCGCTCATTTTCTGTGTCGAAATGTCCATACAAACAAGGCCACTTGAAACCAATTTCACTCAAATTACCCTATTGCGCCGCCTTCTATTGATTCATCGTATTACGGAATTTGATTAAAACCCGATTGCGTCGTTTCCGACATCCACGCCCTCGGCCCTCCCAATTGAAAAATCAAATCGATTTTGATTTTGTGTAATTGAGACTTAATGGGCTCTCGAGTGACACCAATCGGATTCTTTTTTTCTGTCTTGGTGAGTCTATCAGTCATACATTCTTTGTCCCCGCACAATTTCATTCATACCTCACGCACGTTTTTCTTGACGCGATTGACGTGTACACTCTTAAATATTGTGCAAGCGATGAATCCGAGCACAACGTCCGTTACCTATCACCTCGTTGCTTGCTAGCCAGCTCGACAAGCTCTATTACATAAAGTAAAAGAAAATAGTTTGCCTCGAGTCTAGATTTTTTTTGCAACTCTTGCACTATCGAGTCGGAGCATGTTGAAATTGACAAATGTATTTTCGTTTTGCCGATGCGGATGTGATTGTTAGCACCTGTTCATTTGATCAGAAATCAGGATGGCAAGAGCTGATCAGATCAGCACACATTCAACACCGATTTTAATGCTAAATTGCTCATAATACATTCTCGAGATGTTTTGTTTAATATACGTTCTAATAATTGGAGTCCCGAGATTTCCATTAAATTACTACTCGTTGAAATAACGGCTGAAAATCAAAAGTTCAAAAGCACATGTAAAAAATTAAAGCAATTAATTAATAATTTCGACGGCTCAGTTGTTGTTGTTCTCACGTAGAAACATTTTCAAAATAGTAGTGTGTTTAAAGTCAATTTTAACAAAGTTCCCTACATTTCAAAGCATTTTTTGTGATTTTCAGTCGCTTAAATATCTACAAGTTTTTGGTCAATTTTAAGCGTTGCCTCATAATGATGAAGCTTTACTCTGTTGTTAATGAGTGTCGATATTTGAGAGATATTTTTGCTTTCTTAACAATATCTCTCAGATGTGAGTCAGGTGAGTTTAAACGAATCTCTTTCAAAAACAAAACAAAATTGTATCTATGTTTCTTTAATCAAATTTAGAAAGTTTCTATAATCTTCTAAAATTGTTTTTGATGAAAGCCACCGCTCCTAGCGACCTTCACACATATCCTCTGCATATTTTATTCAATATTCACAATCATTATTTATTTCAAATTATATGAACATTTTTTTTACAAAATAAATAACCATGTTTGTTTTGAAAGGTTGTAGGGGCATGTCGTGTAATGGTGTTTTATTACGCATGCCTTCGAGGTCACTCTGAAGATGCAATAAACTTGATTGAAAAAGATGTTTTCGGAAGCCATTCATCCCAATCTAGAAAAAAAATTGAATAAATCTCGTCAAGGTGTTACTTTTATTCCATTTTCTTCGAACTTCAAATCGTCTCCAGTTTGTTTCCATTCATACCCCTTTTTTTGAATAGTGGGGTAGTCAATAGGAACCAATTAACGCTAGTAGCACCATCTGCGGGGCCGACGTGCCTCAGGAAAATATCCCACATTTTTGCTCCTCAGTCCGCATATTACACACTACTCATGATTATTCCTTCATTTGTTAGATGTGTTTTTTGACTAAATCTGCCCCAACTAAATTAGATCTCGTGAAATGCAATTATTTCAATTGAATTTCGCACATTTCTCGAATTCGATCATTTCTTTTTTGAATCGATATCACAAAACACATTGCCAAAATTTGACAACTACTATGAATACGTGATATTTTTTCCTCTATTTTTCACTTCCCCGCAACTCAAACCCTATTATTACAAATTCTCGGGTCTAGGCGCTTCTCGTGTGAGTGATCAACGATCTAAATCGTTTCAAAAAATTTTTTTGTATGTCTCGCCTCAGTTTCATCACTTTAGAAAGCCGTCTCAAGACAATTGGGGTTCGGGATGGGGGGGGGGGCAATCGGCGGAGCTCGCAAAAAATTTAAGGTACTCATTGACATACAAACATAACACACGACGAAAAGGAATGTGACGGGCCGAATGACATTTGTTCCGTTCCAAATAACAAGTTGGTACATTCCTTGAGTCACTTTTCAGTTTTCTTTTCTCATTGCCAATTCGAAGTCGACTGAAGATCACAAAAATCGGCAGATATTCGTATCCTTTCAAACGCTTACCAACTTGATTGATAGATCGGGAAAGGAGGCTCCATCTTTTTCCTCCTTTTCTTGCATTTGTACTCCAAAACATGTTTCTTTGTGATCGTTTTGTAATGTTTCATGGGGCCATGTGTATTGTTGTTGCTCTGTGAG